ATGTTGTGTAGAATACGTGGGGAAATGGACAGTGGTTAACAATACATGGAGATACTGAATCTCTGATAAGATGTGGTTCTTGCCACTTATTGAGGTATGTAGACCACGAAGCCTTTCATGCAGTTGTTTTTTGTACTTACATTAATTTGTACTTTTGAGTATTGGATTTAGTTGAGCCCTGTGACTTGATGGAAGAATGTCCTACGGGTTGCTAGCCACTACTCAATAGATCACACACGACCTCAATGCCATTGGGTTTATCTAGGCCAAGTAGAGTGGATAGCCCCCTTTAGACTGTGAGTCCCAGAAGAGATGAAGCCAGTATGGTGTGAAAGTAGAGTTGCTGAAGATGCATTTTGGAACGTTCTAATTATAGTGTGACACAGTATCAAAGAAAACAGCTTATGCTTCCCATTCCCCAGGGGAATGACTATTTTGAAGCCCGGTTTCATGCCGTTCGCTCTGTCAGGTTTCCGGTAACTAATAACGGTGAGTGAATAAGCAGTGTTAAACCATCCTGTTTTGTGCAGAGAGTGTTGATGGGTGCAAGGGAGTGAGACAAAAAGAGAAGTAACCAGTGTCATACAACAGCGTTCTGCAGTGAGGAGGAAATGGAGCTACGGTGTAGTGCTGTCAGACTGTGAGGAGTTATTAGAAAAGCAGCATGTTAATGAGAGGGTCGGCAATACCCAATTTTTCACTTAAAGCTTTTGTTTTCTTTGTGCTTTGGATTAAGTAGGTGCTTTGCTAGCAATAACATTAAGGCCAGGGAGCAGATTTGCCAGAAGCATTGCAAAATTTTCATATTCTCTTCTGCAAAAGATGGATGGAATGGACCAAAAGCAGTTGAGCCGGACTTCACAATGAAATCTTGATTCACCAAAAATATCCCAAAAACCACACGTTTGTATTTCTCAGATTTTTCAACAATGATTGAATAATCAAAGTTAACTAAAGCTTAACTAAATAAATAACTAATAATTTGGTCACTCAATCCATACCGTTTGTGGGTTACTGCTGTGCGCAATTGGCTGCCACGTTTCGCCCACAAAATAAACAGTCAATTCACTTTACAGTATATTCTGTGAAGTGCTTTGAGACGTCTTGAAGACATAATTAGGTACTATATCAAATGCAAGGATTATTATTATTATTACTGATCCCAGTCATGTTAATATTACAGTTGTATCACATCTCTGTGAGCAGTCAGACTGCTCTGAGTCGCTACCCTGCATGGAGGTTAGCGTCTCAGAGCAGTCTCACTGCTCACAGGGATGTGATACGATTGTAACATAACATGACTGGGATGAGTAACAATAATAGGCTGGACTGCACTGGAATCAGTTGACCTCCAACTAGACTATCAGGTGGGTAACCAATATATTGGGTCGTTAAATGCAATGAGCAGAAAATGAATGAGATGCATCATTGAAATGCTCACTCACATTTAGTAAATATGATGAATTGAAATTGGACACATGTTTGAGGCATTTAGTTTTGGAATCGTTTCACTTTATCTAAATAGATTTACCAGCTAATCCTCCCATGTGGTATATTTCCTGCTATAAGTGGTGCTTAATAATCTCCTCTCTTCCCTCTTCCTCAGTTTTATTAGTGTTCAGAAAAAAAATCATTTACAGCCACTTATTCTGCCACTTTCGGTTGTTGAGTGAATCCAGGTGGAGGGACAAAGCACAAACTCCTCTTAACCTCCCCAACAATAACCATCCCCTCCTAATTATCAACGCGCTTCTCATCTCTCCATCCCATATTATTACATGAGGGCTTCAAATATCTATAACCTCAGCAAACCCAATAAAAAGTTTCTTTTAAAACCGTCCATGTTTCTGTTCCTAATCCAAGTTTAACTGATGATAATCCTTCAGTCAAATGGGACTCCATATTCCATTGAGTTTACATTCAGCTTTGCTACAGAGTTAACAGGTCCCTTGCAGGTTGTAACTACGGGTAGTTTTTGAAATTTCAATCATATCTTAGCTTAATTCATGCCAGTCGATTCTCTCCATAATTCCCAGAGCGACCAGATTCCATCTCTGTAGAACAGTGTAATGCGTTCTGACCGATCATCCATTTTTAATCCCTCTATCACAGAAGCATGTGTCTATTTATACTGCTCCTTGGAATTAAAGGAACAAAATTATTGTACTAGAATTCACGTAACAGTGGTGCAGTGCTGTTATTTTTAGCATATAATAGGCCCATTTTAAAAGGCGTTCCCAAACACAGGTATATGGAAAATATGAACAAATCTTTGCATCAGTAGGGAATTCAACAGATGATTCAAATGGGGAAGTGATTGCATCACTATTCAAATGCATGTTTGCTGGTCAACTTTTGGTGTCACTGCGTCTCAGTGCACTCCTCTGAAAGGAGTATAAATGGCATTAAGTTATGGAATGTTTTTATGCATATTATGTAGTTTTGATACCATTTAATTATAAAATTGGTCTTCCATTCTAGAGGAGACTACCTCTTTTAGTTTTCTGCACTCACCGAATCAGGCCATTTCCATCATAATGAAATGTTAACTGGTGCTAACTTAAAATCACATCAATTTATGGAACTATCAAACATTTTTGTTTGTCACTCAGCGCTGAATAAATACCACTTGGAGCCAGCTGCAGAGAGACTGACTTTTAGTTACTGTATTTAATGGCCTGGCTGATGAAAACGTCAAGCTTACAATTTTCGAATTAATTTTGTGAGGGCGGGAGGGAGAGAGACTCTCTCCTTGATGGATACTTGACACACATAATGTCACGACCATGCCTGGCTAGTTTTAAGATCAGAACGGTATGAACAAGCCGCTCGAGCAATATTTCTGTTCCTTGGCAACCGAGGTGCCCAGAGGGAGAGATGTACCTGAATGACGTTTAGCTGAGTGTGAAATCACGTGCTCGGTGCATTTATACGCTCTCAGCGTTGCCGTTACTGCGTTTGAATTGACACCGCATTCTTTCTGGAATAAACTGTTTGGTGTAAATGGTGTATTTCACTCCCTCATTCTCTTGGTGTTGAGTCTCTTAAGTTCACCTCAGTAACAATCGGTCCCATGAGAGACGAGGATCTGTTTAAGGGGTTGTCTGCAGTTTAACTTGCTCGCTGGCCACCGGAGCGAGCAGGAGCTTGTGGCTTCCCGAACTTCCCAATTGTTCCTTTTAGCAATAATACTTCGGGTCATTACTTCTAGATTTCATGTTATATTTTGGGAACTGCAGGAAGCGAGAGCCCAGTTGATAACATGATAACAGGATTCGGTTGGGCCACTTAAAGGTCATAACTTCCGAAAAAAGTCTCCATCTACTGGCAGCAAATTAGTACTGAGCTAAGCTTTCAGTTTGATAAATGACCAAAAGAACAATTACTTCACTTCAAACCTCTATAGTTTGTACCTCTTCGATGGATATCTGCTCCTAACATGGGATAGAAACTGTTTTGCATTTGCTGGTATGTGATAGCCGCCTTACATACTTTGCCATTCTGTCAGTGCAGGTAGCAGTTGGCTAAGGTCAAATGTGGAGTCCTGTAGCTTATCGGTTAGAGCACTCACCTCGCAAGCGAGAGGACCTGGGTTTGATTCCCGGGCAGGTGAAACGGTGGGCAAGTTTCCTTACTCCACACACCTCTGTCTAGCAGTAAGTAGGAACCCGGTTGTTAGTCGATTTGGCGGATTGCTTTTCAGTGGGTAATAATCCCTTCAAAAAGAAATAATAATAATTTGGTCACTTAATCAATGACTGTTTGTGGGACACTGTAAATTTTATGGGCTCAACACGGCAGCCAATGGCAGTCAATTCAACTTCACAGAAGTGCTTTGAGATGTCTTAAAGACGTGCTAAGGTGCTATATCAAATGCAAGGATTATTATTATCTCCAATGAAGATATGTACGTGTCCGTGTATGTCAGCAGAATTTCAAAAGCCAAATTGTTTGTTAAAAATGCCATCCTGTTGGTATAGTTACTACTTAAGCATGTGAGAAGCTGTTCTCCATTTTCATTGCATGCAAGGTTTTGATTTTTCAATTAAATGAATTCTGGCACCACATCAAAATGTCGGCATTGTTTTCATTTGTGCATCATCAAAGGCGACAGTGAAGACTGAGGCAAAGGTTTAATTTATTCTGAGGTTTCACAAGACATCCACATATCTCTTGATCTAACTATGTGTGTGGTTAATGATGTTGTTTGAACCCCTCAATTAACGTACAATCCCTAGACAACTATTCGCTTTGAATGCTGCAAAAATGTAGAATATAAATATTTTTTAAAAATCGTCAGCTGAAAGGCAAGGCCAATAAATATTTGCTAACCCTTTTGAGTTTGTGGTACTATTCTAATAGTAATCCGCTCTTTACACTGCGATGACGGGGCCTTAATCCCCCCCACCTCGTGCCTTTCTCTCCCCAAACCCTATAGATCCCTGCAGTTTCTATCCTCACAGGGCTCCTTGTTTCCCTCCTCTCTCCCCCCGAATACTCAGATTAATTGAATGGACATCATGGTATCAGATGTGTTTTAATTGTACTCTGGCTACTGTCGTTAATGGTTTGGCTTCTGATTGTTCTCTTGTGTGTAACAGGAATTTACTGAGTTACATTGTGCAGCTTTTTTTTGCTCATTCCATCATTGACTTTCTGTTTTCTTTATTAAAAACATTCCATTTTACTTCCAACCAAACCCGAGGTGAATAATCTGTGGTTTTACACAGGAGCCCACAGCACAGCCATTCACTTTGTCCAGAGTCAAATTCTCAGCTGCTGCTTCACTGATCTATTTTTGTGAGTGCAAGTGTTTTTTGAGGTGGGGGGTGGGGGGCGTGTGTGTCTCTCTCTGAATCAAATACATCTCTGATCTCTGGTGCAGCTTGGATTTCTGGTTTTCTTCCAGGAAACAGGCTCATCTTCTGACCCCCCCCCCTCCTCCCCTCGATCGGTGATCTGCATACAAACCACTGTCAAACAATGCTGTTACTTTTCAGCTACAAGCTCCGCTCATCTGGAGGACCTGGCCTACCTCGATGAGCAGCGTCACACGCCACTGCGGACATCTCTTAGAATGCCACGTCAGCACATGGCAGGAGGCCGCACCCAGCAGGACCTGCGAGGTAAGCGGCAGCTCACACTGTGAGGCAAGGCGAAGGCCGACATGGAGTTCTGTTCTCTGTATGACTGGCCCCTTACACTCCAGCATCTGGTACTGTCTGCAGCCCCGCACGTGAATGGTTCAAAGTTGTTGTTGATGGCCTCAGGCTTCCCAGTACAGCTTTGTCCCTTGATAGAGAATGACTCCCAAGTGTTAGTTATTTAAAACCAGTCTTCCTGCATCCTGGCATGTACAATATTGCATTAGCTCACTTTCTAAGTTCTGTCTGATTAGAATCATCAGCCCTCGAACTTTGAGGGCTTCCTGTTAGGCTAGGAAACAGAAGAGATGCTTTTGTGGATTGAATTAATGGGTACAGATGCTGGATGAACAAGCTGCTCGCATGTGACCTGTCTCCTGTTAGATACCATCCTTAGTTAATGGGGACAGTATTTGTACAATCCACGTGGACTGTTTCATTTCTTTATCCTCTAATGATGTAATATTTACAAAAAGGAATTACATTTATGAGCTCCTTTCATGTTGAAAGAACGTCCCAAGTCAATGTTGGCCCCCTCACCCGACAAATTAGAGCCAACTGCTTTTGTTTCAGGCCAATAGACTGAGATATAGACCATCAAATATCACATTTGGCCATGTTCTTGTATCTCAAACAAACGCTTTATGAGCAATTTTATTTGTAACCACGTCTTGCGTGTGGATTTAACATATTCCAAGAGATGCTTCGACCCAAACATTGCCAACCTTTTACCATTATTTGGGTGCTGATTGCACCCTAGCTTTCACTGGTCATTCCCATCCCCACACCTGGAAAGGATTGAGGGTAGTTGTACTCCAGGGTGACTGCTGGTAATAACAGCTTCTATCCCAATTCTGGCAAGTGAACTGCAGTGACTCTTCCCAAACATCAAAGACCCTTCTGTGTGGTAGGATGCCAGAAAAGGCACTTAAAGTCATGCCAAAAGTGGGTCGCATGAATACCCGATTCTAGCCAGCTGAGATGAATGGACCTTTCCTTCTTCAGAAGATGCTATACATTGAACTACACAGTCTTCTTTACCATAAATGTTTATAAAAAAGGGTGCAGTGAAACCAGATGGAGATAGGTTTGTGTCCCGAGGCTGCAGTCTGCTATTGACGTTCGCATGCCGTGGTTGTGATGAGTTTTCACTGTTGTTGGTCAGGCCTGCAGGTAGCACACCTTGGACATACAGTGTCCTCCTGCTGAATAGGAAGAGTGGGCAGCATTGTGCATGTGGCTCTACTGATGTCTCCCTTTCCATCGGTCACAACATGGAATGGCATGCAAGGAGTTGGGAAGAATTTGGTCTTGTGCTGACTTTCCAAGTGAATTTGGTTATACGACTCTGCTTCCAACAAGTTAGAGAGGGCTTATTTCTTTATAATTATTCCTCTTTTCTCTCACCTCCCGCCTCAGGAACCTAATTTCCGTCACCCCTATTGTTCATCTGCTTTGAATCCCCTTTAGCTCAAACGAGCAGATGCTGTTGTCTAATTAACTGACTGTTAATTCCTCCTCACTGTCAACCCACAAATGTCCTAAAATTAGAGAAGCTTCTCAGACTCGGGTAAGTGCGTTCATTACTTGGTCCCCATGGCACTCGCTGATTCATCATCTCGAGAATTGTCGATTCATCATTGGTCATTTTGTCGTACATCTTCTTTACAATAGAAATGCTACGTATTTGAAAGTGTACAAAAGGTAGGAAGCACTCCCGGGTTAATGTGATCATCAATTATACAAACTTATACGCTGGGGCATTCGACAGCTTCCCAACAGCCTGAACAAGAGAAGAGTCATGCTTCTCTCATCTCTCTATGCAATGACCGGTGGGATTACAGTTGATACAACGTCAAAGCCTTACAGCGGAGCAGATAAAAATGTAAACTCAGTTAGACAGTGGATTGACTGACTAACGTTCCCTCTGAAACTAATCTGATTATCTTTCACATAAAATGCTGGAAATAAACCTAAACCCTGAACATATGCTCGTACCAGCTAATGTGTCTCTATCCTTGTAATGCATGGCTCAAAGGATTGGGGATGATGATACATTCTGGAACCTGATTGCAGCAAATATTAATATAGACAAACCCGCTTTGGGACTCTTGTAAAGTGGCGAGGGATTCAACCCACTTCCTGATGGGCCGGAGTCCAGAATGGATGTATTTTCAGATTGCATGTTTTCTGCCTCAAACGACTTGAGTTGTATGTTCTGATGTAACATATTGAAGGGCCAACGCTGCCTAAATGGGCTTTAGATTGGCCATGTGTTTCACTGGTAACACTCAGTTATTTGATCGGCCTTTTCAGGCTAAACATTTGAGGCAAACATGGAGTGTAGTGCGAATTGAGAGAATACAGGGCCAGAAATAGCACAACAAAGAGAGCCCGATCCTCCAAAACTGCTGTCACAGCTGAAGTTGCACCTGCTTAGTCCCACAGGCCACCACACCCAATATTCCACACACGATGTCCTGGCTTTTTGAAGGGGAAAATAACACGGGAAAGACCTCTTAAGTTTGCTGCCCCTGTGTTTGTTGAAATATAACTGTTAAGCATCGGGGGTTATGCATTCCACACTTGACATACGATGCCTCTGTATTACTTTATCTCTTGTGCTTGTTGGTAACATTTTACCTCACTTTCTGGCTTTTCTCTGATTTTTGCTTTAGCTTCCACTAATGCCCATGCTTGGCACACGCATTCACGTAAGTTACAATTCTTGTCGATACAATCTTAATCGTTTCACAACTTAATTTATTTTACAGTTAGAGGCACTTTTGGGCCTTTCCCTATACTGCAGTTGCTCCACAGTGAACTATTTCCTGTGGTGAGCAGCTGAAGAAGCTTGCCTTCTGAAAATTATTCTAGAATTGGCTTTTAAGTTTTTTAAAACTCTCATTGATCAGTCCAGTGAGATCAGCGTTGGGCAGTACAATGCAAAGATCTTTGCTTTTGACCCTTGCTCCTCATTGATCTCGGGGCAATGGACAGATGCCAGCGGTGAAAGTACTTAAAGCCTGGTGGCTTCCTGTTATTGATCATCAGTGGAACTAATAATTGGTTTAAAGGCTGAAAATGTTTCAATGGATGACTTCCTTCAATTTGAAAAAAATTATCATGGGATGGTTCAGTATTAAAAACTGCAGAAAATCCGAATGTGAAATGTGCTTGTTCCACCACAACAACAGATTACATTTGTATAGCACCATTCACTTCAGAAGGACATCCCAAGGCGCTGGACAGTCAGGGATTTGGATCCGAGCAGGTGGTTCGTTTTAGTTTAAGAATCATTCAAAAATAAGATCAACTGTGGCTTTCATATCACCTTATCTATTTACTGCTTTAAATAATTTATCTGAGAACAGGGAGACTATAGCAGTAAGTTTTCTAATGCTTTGATTTTGATCAGGAAATATATGCAATTAAGTGAAAATAAAACAGCAACAGAACAAGTAAGTCTTATTACGGTAAACCCAGTAACATTCGAACTTCTCTTCAAGTTCTGATAAAACTTCCCTCTCAGGATCGTAAGTGTTCGTTATGTAACATTTAGAATGTGCCCACTGCTGTTCTGTATTGTAAGGATACTGACACTCTTCTTGCCTCGTCCTGTAATTGTAATGGTAGTTGGCAATTTGTGCCCTTTAATCATTCAGGGTGGTTGAGCGGGTGATCTTTGCTAGTTCCAGTTGATTTTGCTGTCGTGGAAGTCTCATTCTATGCACAACATTCACAGTTGTCTAGAGCTAGCAAAGATTGCAAGACACCACTGAGGCACCAGGCAAGAAACATCTTCATACACCTGTGTGGTGTCTTTATTACGTTTGCTTTAGATTTTGTTTTCTGCTTCAAGGGTGTGGTTAAGACACTGATCTGACTTTGACTCTCTGTTCACAGTACGCTTTGCACCATACAGACCTCCAGATATCTCCTTAAAACCGCTGCTGTTTGAAGTACCAAGCATCACTACTGACTCTGTCTTCATTGGCCGTGACTGGCTCTTCCACGAGATAGATGCACAGTTAAAGTGTGGAAACTCGAGTGTGAACCGAGGAGTAGTGATCGTTGGCAACATAGGATTTGGGAAAACAGCCATCATCTCAAGACTGGTCGCCCTCAGCTGCCATGGGTCTCGAATGAGACAGATCGCGTCTGATAGTCCACATGCATCTCCAAAGCGTATGTACACTGTGATACACTATGTTTACATACATTGGAAAAGTTGGAAAGATCGCATCACTGTTGAACCGTTGTTTGCCAATATCTACTCCTTATGATTCTGCGTTCATATCCAGCTAGCCAGATACAGCTATCCTCTTCATTTTCTCCTCTGAGTCTTAGCTTTAAGAGCTCAACCAACATGGGGTGCTTAGCTTTGACATGAGGCCACTCTGTTAGGAAGAGCAGGGAAGCCAAGGTGCTTCCCCTCCTGAAGAGGGTAGGGAGCAACCAGAGTGCAATCACACCGTCAGCTGCCATCCTGCACCGAGCAGCGGTTACTGAGCCACAATGACAGCAGCAGGCTGCCGTTACATCACCCGTCCCTTCTGTCAACCAACACATCTTGCCTGGCATGAGGGAGCCCTGCAACAAAAGGCAAACTATGTCAGAAAACAAAAGCACATCTGGGCTTTGCTCCAGTGCTCGGTTTGTGGTTCTAGAATTTGTCTCCACTATAATTATTCTGATTTTTAAAAATTAAGTATGTCTCAACCACATGGTTAATGTGAATGAAATTGAACAAAGTGCCTCCTGACCTTCATCTGTAGGTTTCCATTCCTACCTGTCTATTTGCAACACTAGTTGCTGCATTTGGTTTGCTAACCAAAGGGGATTGATTCCCAGTTATTGGAATTGCAATTGGAGAATTCCTCTTTCGCTGTTTTGTCTCCCGTAAAACAGCCTTACGAGCTGAACGCCCTTAAATAAAAAAAGAATAACAAACAGACCTGTAGCATCCACATCTGCTTCTGTGTGAATTGTGTTTCGCCCACAAAATATACACTCAGTTCACTTTACAGTACGTTTGTGAAGCGTTTTGAGACATCTCAAAGACGTGATCAGGCGCTATATCAAATGGTATTATTAATGAATGAGTGGCGGGGTAGGTGAAGGGGTTAATGCAGTGTATATATATATACACAGTATTTCACATTTAACAAAGCGATTCCAGAAAGCCATGGACCTCAGCAGAGAAACCCCAGTTTGAAACAAAATGAAAACAGCTGTGGTTGACTGCTAATCCTCTTGTCTGCTACATAGATCATAAATCAGCCGACATTTCTGAGAAACAGACCCTCCAGTTGTTTGTAATAGCAGATCCCTACATGCCACGTGAGCAAGGGAAATGGGACCCTTTTAGATGCTTGCAAACGGGGAATACTGATGGGATAGGAAAGTGAGCAGGAGAGAGTGGCATGAGACGAGGTGGTTCATGTGGAGTTTTAAAATAACACCACCACCACAGTCTTGATGAGCCAAATGGCCTGTTTCTTTGCTGTAATGTTCTATGATTCATCAGGTTGATGGTGTCCCAGGAGTGGTTTACAGGGTTATTTTTAAGCACTAGTGATATTTCCCTTTTCAGCAAAAGATTCTTTATTTTCTTTTCATAAAAATTGCATGGAGTCCTGTAGTTTAGTGGTTAGAGGACTCGTCTTGCAGGCCAGAGGACCTGGTTCGATTCCCGGGCAGGGCGAAACGTTGGCCAAGTTTCCTTACTCCTCACGCCCCTGTTTACCCAGCAGTGAGTAGGAACCAGCGATTGGCGGATTGCTTTCCGTGATTAATCCCTTCAAAAAAAAAGGAATAATTTGGCCACTCATTCAACATCTGTTTGTGGGACACTGCTGTGTGCAATTGGCTGCCACATTTCACCCACAAAATATACATTCAATTCACTTTACAGTATACATAAAATGATTCTGTTGCCTGCCCTTTCTGAACATTTCCATCACTCATTGGGCCCTCTCCTGGTATCCTTGTTGAGCTAAACAAGATTAAACAAAATGTTTTTGCAGAACTGTTAAGTTTGATAAGGCTGCTCTTTTGGACAGTTAATGAAACACCTCATGGGTGTTGTTTTCCATGAATAAAGAACACATAACACATGTGTTCAATAGTCTAGAATGGAATAATTAAAAGCGCTATCTGAAGCAAGCTTCAAATTGCTCGCAGTCCTGCAAGCTCCCTGTGAACAGTGTGCTGGACAAAGGAAGTTACTAACGTTTGCCCCACAGATCAAGCAAAGGTTCCACATCAAACTAGAAATGCACCTGGTTTGCTTCCCTTTCAGGCTATATGGAGCTGCCTGTTTGAAATGTTAGGAGTTTTATGGACTCTGCTGCATTGCCCATGTCTGTGACTTGGTTTTATATTGATCTAAGCAGCGCAGCAGGTCCCTAGACATGTGCAAGCTCCAGGGCAAGTACGTCAGTGGTTCTGAATAGATAATGTAACTGCTGTTCATACGTCAATAGCAGATAAGTCAACCACAAATTACATTTACACAGCGACTTTCACGTCGGGAGAACATCCCAAGGCGCTGCTCAGTCAGGGATTTGAACCCGAGCAGGGGGTTGGGAGCAAGAAGGGGTAGGAGGGTGACCGAAGCCGCGGTGGAGAGGAGGGTCTTGAGACGTGCCTTGAAAGAGGCAAGGGAGGAAGCAAGGCGAAGGGACTGAGGGATGGAGTTTCAAAGGGTGGGAGCATAGAAGCTGAAGCTCTAATCACCGATGGTGGGGCGAACCGGCTTGGGGACATGGAGCCTGCTGAGTGGACGGAGCAGATTAGTAGCTATGGCAATGGCTAGGACTGGCTTGTGGTGGATTCCTGAAACCGATTGCTCAGCGCTTTCCCCATAGCCTGAAAGACCAAGAGAAAATGGGGGAAATCGTAGCCACATCGGAAAACTGACTAGTGGTTCTTACATCTGAAGATCATTTAATGTTATCTTCCAGAACCAGCTTGCGGTTTACTCTAAATGAACTGAAGCATTTTAATTGCATTAACTGTTCTGAAACTATTCTGCCATATTTTAATTTATTGCAGCTTCATTCTGCAGTTAAAAAATAAGGTAAAATGCTGCTGAGGCTGATGTGGAGGGTCCCGGGGGCATTGGTTCTGGTGCCAAACAACTTGCATCATCGGTCAAATATTTTGTGCTGGTCAGTGGTACTGAAGGAATCAGCAAGTTCTCGGCATGAAGTAAGTGGTGGAGCCGATGAAGTGCCGTGCTGTGCCGCCAAGCAACAGCTGCTCTTCATTACCGCTAGTTAGCAGTCCTGCTGCGAACTGTAAATTGGGTCTTAACCCCTTGGGTGTCCACGTTTCTTTCCAGCTCTATAAAGAGCAGAGAAAAAAATTGTTTTTAACTGTTCAGCACTGGGTCTCATAACGCAAAGATAATAAATATAGGTGTAACTCCTTGCCTGATGGTTCGATTGCATACCGACCCACTGTTAAGTGTAGTGAGTTTTATAGACCAGGATTGTCCCATGTTTTATCTCTGGCTGAGTTTGTTGATATCAGTCTGGTCTTCGTAGGAGTGCTGCAATTTGCTTCAGTGCTGAGAGAGGTTCTGTTGTTGCCCATGGGGGGGGTGTGTAGATTGGATTGAGCCGTCTCAGCTGCAAGTTCAGTGAGTTTTAATAATAATAATACTTGCATTTGTTATAGCGCCTTATCACGTCTTTGAGCTGTCTCAAAGCACTTCACAGAATATTCTGTAAAGTGAATTGACTATTTATTTTGTAGGTGAAATGCGGCAGCCAATTGCGCACAGCAGTGTCCCACAAACCATTGTGGATTAAGTGACCAAATTATTATTATTTTTATTTATTTAAGCTTCACGTTCTCCACACTGACACTCTGCAAACTTCAGTGTAGAGAGGTTTATATTCTAGTTGCTTCTCGGTTTGTTTTATTTAGTCCCTCGGCAGGACTGAAGGTCATATCTCCCTCATTCCTCCTATGAAATCTCCTTGCCTTTGTATTGCTTTATTTGAAATGTAATGAAGTGCAGAACCCAGTGTTGGGAATTACAGAACACAAAGAACCAAAAAGTTCAACAGATATTTTGGAATGTGGCACACAAATGCTCTGACACTTATGAAATATTTAAGTATACAACATAACTGCCAACACTCTGACTTTTGCCGTGGGACTTGCAATTTTCCTGTCTAGAACGACCACATTAGAAGTCCGGTCAGTGGCCATGGTGCTCAGGAGAAGTCCAGTGGGACTGCGGTAGGCGAATGATTAAAATCATCAGAAACAAGAACACGCAGTTAGCTGTATAGAACCCCATGGCGCCCACTACAATCTCCTTGATTGACTGGATCGCCTGACTGCCAGAATACTAATATGATATTGTCTGTAGCCTGTTCCCTGGCAGACAGTATGTCATCTGTCCATGTATTTGTGGCTTAGTAATAATAATTTAAAGTAAATGTTCTCACATAACTCCTGCATGCTACGTTTCGCCCACAAAATCTACAGTCAATTCACTTTACAGTATATTCAGTGAAGCACTTTGAGACGGTCTTAACAAAGTGATAAGGCGCTATATCAAATGCAAGGATTAATATTATTATCCTCAGTGAGTGAAAGGGGAATCGTATGGAGAACCATACAGGCGAATACACAGACCAACAGTGTTTGCCCTGCATTGTGTAATAACTATGGAATGAGGTTTTCTAACCATCTCTCATTGTTTTGTCTTCTCTGTAGATGTGGAAGGCAGCCGGGATCTACCACTGACTCAGCCACCTCAGACCCATCCCTCTATCACAAGTGGAAGCTGCCCAAGCACGCCTGAGCTCCGCCGGCGACAGGAGGAAGCCATGAAGAGGCTGGCCGCACAGGTACCACCGCCCGAAATAGTGCCAATGCACTTCAATTACTGACGTTTGTTTTGCAGCAAGTCTGGCAGGGGGCAGCTCCCTGCTCAGGATTTTATTATTTCTTTGAGCCTTGAATGGCATTTGTTGAACTTGTTTCCAGTAGAAACTCTTTTAGCCAGTGAAGCTTGACTGCTGTGTCCTCACTTTGGAGCTTAGATTACAAGTTTAAGTGCTCTTGAGACGCAGCCCTGCGTGGAGGGCGCTATGTAGGTGCAAGCTGTTGTTGAAGTCTCCAAATTACTTTTAAAAACTTTAACTGAACCTGGCTCCAGTTCTCTGATGGATTGTATTCGGCCATTAGCCTTGTCTCAGGCCTCTTGGTTTAATTTGCAGATTCTCCGTTTATTGCAATAAGTCCTTGCTACTCTATAGATTCAGAATACTCCAGGAAAGAACAGTCTTTGACCTCCTAATTTTCAGATCGTGTCTCGGGGTTATATTGGATGTTCCGTGAAACATGCTCACAATCAGTTTATCATCTCCCCACTTTCTGTTCCTTAGTGTTGCTGAGGTTTGCCACAGAAAAATCCATCGTGTGCGCTGTACACGTGATAAATACATAGTCCTTCTCACATTCTTCAACTCAATTGCAAGCAGGGGACCCATTACCAGAGTTTGGCTTCCTTTTCACTGCTAGTTTGTGAGATGGATGGGATTATTGTCACCAGCTTGTTGTCAGATAGCCTTTTTTCAGTGTATTTACACCTTTTTCAGTCAGTTCATTGTTGATAGAAATGTTACATCTGGAACATCTAACCTAACAAATCTCTTTTCATTTGAGTTGAGGTTGCCACATTCTGGCTGGTTTACTTAAAGTGTTCTTGTCTGCCATGGTTTGATTTATCTCAGTTCAAACTGCATTACGGGAACAATTACTAATCCAAGTTACTGTGCTAACTGTTTAGATGGTATTGTCATTAAGTGTGTATTGATTGGTCTGAATTCTGTACTAACATCCTAGCACCGAGAATGTGATCTATTGATCAGATTGCTTTTGATTGAATACCCAGATATCAACTGTAAGAGTCATCAATTTAATTATCTGATTGGATATTTTGGCATTGAATGGCTTTCCGGGACACATGGAATATATAATTACTGAAGACTGGTTTTCTCGGGAACTACCAACCTGAGAAAAAGTTGGTGGGGACAAGAATCAGGGTGCCAGAATGGGAATCAACTCATGCTAAAGGGATCCTAAATATATGAACCGGTGATGTACTGTTGCATAAGAAGAGTTTACTGACAGTATAGGATGAGGAAGACTCTCAGCCCAATTTATTGCATCTTCCCCACAGTCCTCGTATTACATCATCGAGCTGCGTTTAAATGAGCCTAGGAATTTGAATCTAGCATCGAGGGAATGAGATTCTAATTTATTCTGTTATTTCTGACAGGTGTTAAGTGATGAGCTTGGGTCATCCTGCCCGCTTCCCTCTGGAGAAAGACTTGTTTGAGTGACTTAGCCCTTTCAAACCGTCAGAAATCCCACAGTCTCACATCTCCAGATTATGTTTATATAAAGGCCAGGAATGTTCTCACTAAGGCTACAACAGCAGATCTTGTGGCTATTTTCATGAAACTCCTTGTTGCACTTCTCTTCGCAGGTGGTCGCCTATCATTACTGCCAGGCAGATAACGCCTACACCTGCCTCGTCCCCGAGTTTGTTCACAACGTGGCTGCGCTGCTCTGCAGGTCCCCACAACTTGTTGCCTACAGGGAGCAACTGCTTCGAGAGCCGCATCTACAGAGCATGCTCAGTTTACGCTCCTGTGTACAAGATCCCATGGCATCCTTCAGAAGAGGAGTCCTGGAACCACTTGACAACCTGCGCAAGGGTAGGTGCAGATGGTGCAGTGCGTGAATTATATTAATGCCGTTTGGTGCTGTTTACACTGGGAGAACCAAGAAGACGCAGCATTTGATGTTGGTTCCCCAGTATATCGTAGTAAATGTACAGGAGAAGGCTGATGAGGCACGGTCTGCTTTCGTGCATAACCAGAAATTACTCTTAAGAGTTGCTGAATTGCAGACAAGATTTGTTCCTCATTGAGGACAGATTTCAACAGCTAAATAAGACTCAATCTCGCATTTCTTGAGAAGGGAAAGTGATATGTACTCAACATTGCAAAGCAAATTCAGATTATGAAATGACTGTAAGAAGGGCACTGGGATCCATAATCATTTCCACGCAGCAGATCACTGCTCCAATGTAGCTGCATTTGCTCTTCAAGCTGGAGCAAATCAGGTCAAATTAAAAATGTCAAATTCCATTCATTCTGCCCGGATGTAGAAGAATCCCGTGGTCCAGCACATTTCTCAAACTATCCCAGTGTATATGTAATGACAAACAATTAGGCTTTGAGAGCTGTAATCCCTTGGGATCTGAAGGACAGAGTTAATGTTCCTATTTATCTTTGTTTTTCTTTCAGAACAAAAGATTGCAGATGAAGATTTTATCATATTAATTGATGGCTTAAATGAAGCGGAATTCCACAAACCAGATTACGGAGACACAATTGTCTCGTTTCTCACTAAAACCATTGGGAAATTTCCCTCGTGGCTGAAACTTATCGTGACCGTTCGCACCACTCTTCAGGTACATGCGGGGTAGGAAGAGGGCAAAACAATGGGAGGATTCAATGTTAACAAACTAAAAGCGGGTCACTAATATAATAACAATACTGTGGGTCATACCTACTCGGCTGGCAGCAACAGACATGGTTGGTCTCAATAGGCTATTTACTAAACATTCCTTTTTGCAAGCTTGCATTTCTTGTGAAGGGAAAGTGACTTGTGTTTTAAAAGATATGTACTCAACATTACAAAGCAAATTCGGGTGATAAAATGAATGCAAAAAGACCACTGGGGTCCTCAGTCATTTGCACGCTTCAGATCGCTGCTCAATCTAGCTGCATTTGCGCTTCAACCTGGAGCAAATCTGGTCAAATTAAAAGTATTTCACTCCAAAACGTTAGTTATCCTGAACTCTTGTTATTTTTTGGGCTATAATCTTGTTTTTTTTTTCACAGGAAGTTGCTAAGCTGCTTCCGTTTCACAGGATCTATCTGGACAAACTGGATGTGAATGAGGCCATAGACCAGGACCTTCAGGCCTACATCCTCCACCGGATTCACAGTAGCCTTGAAATCCAGAATAACATTTCCCTCAATGGCAAGATGGACAACACCACCTTTGGCAAACTCAGCACTCATCTTAAGGCTTTGAGCCAAGGATCATACCTGTACTTAAAGCTGACTTTTGACTTGATTGAAAAGGGATACCTTGTCCTCAAGAGCTCCAGCTATAAAGTGGTACCCGTTTCCCTGGCTGAGGTCTACCTCTTACAGTGTAACATGAAGTTCCCCACACAATCCTCCTTCGAGCGGGTGCTGCCCTTACTGAATGTGGCAGTGGCTTCCTTGCACCCAATGACTGATGAACAGCTTTATCAGGCAATAAACGCAGGGAACATCGAGGGCAGCCTGGAATGGGAGGACTTTCAGCAGCGAATGGACAATCTCTCTATGTTTCTGATAAAGCGCCGAGATATGACCCGGATGTTTGTCCACCCATCTTTCCGAGAATGGCTGATCTGGAGAGAGGAAGGAGAGAAGACCAAGTTCCTGTGTGATCCCAGGTAAGACACTGGCTCCATCTTAACTCTTCTGTGGAAACTTGTGGGAAACAAGGATAGTCATAGTAAGTAATCCAATTAAAATATTCCTATTTTTTTCCCTTGATTTTACTTTGACATTGTTCAGTAACAGAAGGGATGGTTCCCACACAATCCGTGGATTAAAAAAAACAATTCATTGTGTGTGAAGTGAAGCACCTTAGACAATTCAATGTAAGGTGCTATATCGAGTACAAATGTTTCTATAAAGTTTGGATCTGTAAGTAATTGAAATAAGGAAAACTCTGTGGGAAATTGTACATTTTGCCAGCCAAAGAATTATTATTAATTCTGTAGAAACTATGACTATCCTTAAAAAGGACAAGGGAACAAAGCGTTTCCACGGAGAAGGGGCGCTTAAAACAGTTTTATATAATCGTTTTGTGTCAATAACGGAAGGAACTGTTATTAAATATTATTAAATATTTGTTCCCTTTTTTTGTGGTAGACTCGCTCTGGGATCCTTCAATGCTGAATGATGTTTGAAATCTGCTTTTGACTAAATTGAGTTTGAAAGCGCTGCGCACTGCCCTCACTGCTAAGACACGATAAATCTCGGTGCTTTTTCATTCAAAGAATTCATTCAGCTCTGATCTTCGTTGTGCTTGCAGAGTGACTGCATGTTTGCTAATCTGCTTTCTCCTCCCCGTTTCTCCTTCTGCTGTTCCTCCTGCCCCTGTGCACATGGCACCATTCCCTCAATAATAAGCAACTGTAAACTTGCCTTGCCAAAGGGCTTGAATAGGAAGCGACAAGCTTCCCAGGGAGATTCACCCCCTGAATTATTTATTTAGAATGTAGTTTTTTATACTCCAATGGGAGGAGTGCTTTACCTCTGCTGATTACCTCCTGGAGGGTTATAGCAAGTGCTGAGCCAACCACGTTGGTTTCACAGGTACACACTTCAATCTCACTGTCATCCTGCGCTGCTGGCACGATAGCCATCTAGGCAAAGGAGGGTTCACCCAAAATAAACTCCAGAGCGAGGTCAGAAAGCTACTGCTGCGCTTGAGGCATTTTATTTAAATCAATGAAAATTTGTGCCAATGAGAAGTTTAAATGTACCTAATTGAGTCGTGCTGGTGGTGGTGTAATTGTCTGTTACACGCACATTTCTCCATCCTTCTCTGTTCAGTGAGAAACTGGTATTGAAAAATGAGTCCTGACAAGACTAACGATGGCAATGTGGTAATGGTAGGCCAGAGAATTTTTTTGCACCGAAGAAGGAAATGCTTCTGACACAAAGGACAATCTGCCAATCCCTGCATTAAAATATTCATGCTGCAAACACAGAGAGGATTTTAAAAGGGGTTCAGGTTGTTATAAACCATCAATTACCATCTGCCCACTTTAGCTCATTTAAAATAAAGTGTAATGCTTTGTGGAAGGTTCAGAGCTAAAATTATATAAGTCCAGAAAAATGAAACTACTGCAGCAGATTAACACTTAGCCTGCTAATTGTGCACTTAATTTGGAGAGATTATGGCTGTTTTATCCATCAAAAGAATCCTCCAGTTTCAGCCTCCATAGTAGCCTTAACTAAGTAAAGGTGTGAAAAGTACTCATTCGCCCAATGAATTAAAAATAAATCAAAGTGCTACTTTGATACGCAGTGTATGGTTCTGGCCTCCTGTTAAGGCAGCCATTTCTCTGACATTTCCAAGACTAGGTGTGAAAATAGGTTTGGTTTTGCAATTGCCTCATTTGGAAAGCAGTGACGCCTTCTTCCTCTTTTGATATAACGTGACGACGGACCTTCTTCTGGAACCCTCCTGTACAAGGGCACATTTCTGACTTCAAAGCTAGCCAATGATTTGAAGTTAGACAAAGAACCAACTCTAGAATAAAGACAGATTCAGTGAACAACACAGTGTAGTTGTTGGCTTATTCGCCTGAGGTTGTGGAGATATGAACAGCAAAGCACCATCGATTTTTTTTTGTGTGCAGTTTGCACATTGTGAGCTATGACTTCAATTTGCTATCCGTAAACAAGCCTGATATAAATGCGCGTATGCTGCCCACCGAAAGGTTGTGCGATGGGAAGCTCAATTCTGTAAGTAAACAGTAGAGCTGGAAAAAAAAACTGAAGCTGTAGCATTGCAATGTGTGGTGATATGAAGCTAAATGAAGAAGCTTGGAGACGGGGCGCAGGTGGTGGTTCTGAAGCTCCTAATGAAGTGTTGATAGGTGGCTTCTGTATCTTCAGTGAATATTACGAACCTTTAGTGAACGCTGGCGTGTTCATTGAGCCTTAGTCTGACTGACTCCTGAACTAAATTGGTTACGGTCGGAAAAGAGACCACTTGAGTAGTGTGGTGATGTGCTGTTAGTGAGCCACATGATTACTGACTTCCAGACTGACTCGTATAAAGAGTAGATGCCTTGGCTGTACTGATTCATGCCCTAAAACAATTTACATTTGTTGTGGCGCCTTTCACATCGGGAGAATGTCTCAATGCGCTCCATGACTGGCCAGACCAGCGGGGCTGAGGAGTGGGAGAAAGGGCGCTGCAGGAATTCTTAAACCACAATCACACTCCAAAATGAAAGCTATCCCTCTGCAGACAAGCTGATAATAATAATAATAAGCCTTGCGTTTAATATAACGCTTTTCACATCTTCTAGACATTTCAAAGCACTTCACAGAATATACTGTAATGTGAATTGACTGTGTATTTATGGACGAAACACAGCAGCCAATTGCGCACAGCAGTGTCCCACAAACAGTCGTGGATTGAGTGACCAAATTATTATTGTTTTTTTAAGGTTTATTAACCCCAGAAGCGCAATCTGCCAATCAACTAACAACCGGGTTACTACTTACTGCTACGTAAACAAAGGTGTGTGGAGTAAGGAAACTTGCCCAACATTTCGTCCTGCCGGGAATAGAACCCAGGTCTCTCGCTTGTGAGGCAAATTCTCTAACCACGGAGCTACAGGATCTGATGGCAAAGCAGAAATACTAATAATCCCTGCATTTGATTATAGCGCCTTATCACGTCTTCCAGAAGTCTCAAAGCGCTTCACAGAATACACTGTAAAGTGATTTGACTGTGGGTTTTGTGGGCTGAATAAAATGGCCGGGATAGTTCCAATACTCAGCCTTTGTGTCGCTGGACAATTTATATTTTCATACCCCCACGAGCTCATACTTATTCCTCACCAGACATCCACTCTTGCCTCTGGTCACGTACGCTGCAAGTAGTCAGTGCTTGTACACAGTGAAGGGCGCAGGATTCTGCGGCCCGACACAACCGTTTACATTTAGAAATGGTATCTGTTGACACTGAGCATACCACTCGGGGTATAATTAGCCTCCCTCCAAATGGGGCACCAGAGCATTACGCGTAGTGTAAACCGCAGTATATCAGACAGTCTAAACAACGTAAAGTCACTTTGAAAATAAGAATTAATTAAAATCCTTTTAAGGGAAATTGCATCTTCTCTAATGGATTCCAATTGTAATGGAATGCTGTGTGTGTTTAACTGCAGTTTTCTTGGCACTGTATTTTATTTGCTTTGTAATCAACATTATACCATTGATGTGCATGAGATTTATTTGTGTCCTGACCCTTAATGTGCACTATTTACTGGTCAAGATGGAGGCGATGCATCCTGTTATCAGACCAGTGCCAAAACTGCTCTGTAACTATTCACAGCCGAGTGAGGACAGTTGTGCGGGTCTTGCCTTCGGTGATGGCAGCGAATGCTTTGGTCTGACTGACATCAAGCCCTTACAATGTGGGAAATCAGTTACTTTTTTTTCTATTCCGATATTGCTATCTTACCGCAGGTGAAAGATCTGTATTAAACATTGTACCTTTATTCTCCAGTAATTATTTTCATTTTTTAGAATGTGTCGTATGCTGTGTTTTTTTTTAAAAAAAGTAATAATTTGGTCGCTGCGCTGCTTCTGAGGCCTCAAAACTCCTGCAGTTTCACAGCATTTCAGACGTTGGCTGCAGATGTGTTTTTAATTATCACCACATTGCAGTGTAATGTGTGTCATTCACAATAATCTCCCGCTGCACGAAGACTCCAGAAATGGCTTTTCACAAGGTGAAGGAGCTGTTGATGATTGGAGTACAGTTTCATACTTGCCTTTCAGTGGGGCGCGGGGGGGGGGGGGGATCTGTCTACTTTTCTGGAAAGATGCCCTGACATTGTCACAGACGTCTGTTAATTTGATGCCCTAACCCTAAAACTAATCACCTTGTTAGTTTCTTTTCAGGGGCAGTGTCTCCGAGTGTTGCGCAGATGTATAATATCTAGTGTGGAATCCGGTAGCATAGTGGTTAGAGCCCTCTCCATAGAGAGGGCCCGGGTTCGATTCCCAGGCAGGGCGAAAAGTTGGGCAAGTTTTCTTACTACATACGCCTTTGTTTACCTCGCAGTAAGTAGGAACCCGGTTGTTAGTCGATTGGCGGATCGCGATTCTGGGATAATAATCCCTTAAAAAAAATATTCGGTCACTCAATCAATCCACGACTGTTTGTGGGACGCTGCTGTGTGCAATTGGCTGCCACGTTTCACCCACAAAATATACATTCAATTCACTTTACAGTGTATTCAGTGAAGCGCTTTGAGACGCCTTGAAGACGTGATAAAGCAAAGATCAAATACAAAGATTATTATTATTATCTTACAGTAGGTAATGCGAATTCGTAGATCTTCCTGCAGGATTGGAGTTTGAAGCTTAAATAAATATTAACTTTTTAAAAGGCAGATTTTATAAATGAAAATGGAGGAATCCTGTGCCTGGAACATCTTGTCACCATTCTGCAGCATTTCTCATCTGTTTCAGATCGCGAGTACTCTGTGTTCAGCATCTCTCTCAGTCTATTATTGAATGTGGCACCTCCCTAGGTTTCAAGATTGCACAGAAAACAAGGGAGTACTTGGATTGAAGGTTAATGGTGTGCCATAAAGGGACAGACTACAGCTGTGTTTTTAACTGCTGTGAAGATTTAAATACTTGTATACTAGCCAGTAGCTGAGCCATACAAATCAGCACTGTCTCAGGTTCAATCCCAGGTCTGTGCTAAATTAGTTAATCTCACTGGCGTGTCACGAGGAGCCCTACAATTGTGCTCTGCACTTTGAGTTGGGGAGGGGGGAGAAAATCATCTAGGTTCCTGGTAACAATCCAGAGATCCCCTGCTGGAAGGTGCGTGGGTGAGAAGCGCATCAGACTGGGCTGTGATGGCTCCCACAGTCAAATGGTCTGCCAGACCCTTGCTGTCAGGGTTCGCACATGAATAATGGCCACCTGAGCGAAATAGTGGATTTTGGCAGTCATACGCAGAACCACAGACTTGCTTTCCTCTTACATTGTGTACTACATTTTCTGCTTGCAACAAATCTCTTTAGAGAAGTACCCTTTAAAAGGCTAAACCATCGTAAGTCAGGGTCATCGTAAATTCATTGTAATTAAGTTTCTAGTCTAGCAGTTGCCTTCTCTAATCAATAAACTGAATGATGGGGTACACATTTCTTAACTGAACACTATGCCAGATGATTTCCAAGGAAATACTACAGTTCTTTATTGAAGGGTAAAGGTTTGAATGTCTGGGAGATTATATCCAATGTTTTCAGAGGTCTGAGGATAGCTACTCTGAATCTCACTAATTCACAATTTTAAAGGCAATTCTTTCTCTTTGCCCAGGAGCGGCCACACTTTACTGGCGTTTTGGTTCTCTCGTCAGGAAGGCAAACTGAACCGCCAGCAGACCATTGAGCTGGGACACCATATCCTTAAAGCACACATCTTCAAGGTAATTGAAAATCACTACAAACCAGCCAGTATATCAAGGCTCTTAGTGTTGTAGGGTATTACATGCAAGGATGACATAGAATCACATTCTCTCTGAAAACAACAACATCAACTTGGGTTTATATAGCCGCATGGCGTCTCAGGACACACAGAAAGGACACGCTTGTTGAACTTGACACCTCTAGTTCCTTCACTGTGGAGAACTAACATGTTTGTTTCTTTTTATTTTAGGGTCTGAGCAAAAAGGTTGGGGTTTCATCCTCCATACTGCAAGGCCTGTGGATATCATACAGCACAGAGGGATTGTCCACAGCTTTAGCATCGTTGCGGAATCTGTACACCCCAAACATCAAGGTAAAGCAGCAGTTAGAAAAATCAGAGTCAAAACTTGGTGTGGCCTCAAGGGCTGAATTTGGATCATTACCTGACAGAGGGGCTCAGACCTCTCCTCTGTTGCAATGATGTTAGTTAATACCAGGAGTTTTGACCCAGTTTTTGATGGATACGAATTCATTACTCATAAATTTGACATTAATTTGAACTTGGGTGAAATGAAATTTTGACACAGGGAGAAAAATCACACTGTGTGCGCAGTAATTGTCTCCCTGAGGACCTTTGTTTTTATCATTTATTGTAATTTTAAAAAACATGATGACTCAGTAACTTTGCCATGTAGCTTGCAGGCAAATTTTGCTGCACATAAATTTATATTTATGATGCTTGGAAAGAGACAGTAAATGTGTGTTTCTTAATCGGGCTTTCTGACTAACAAGTTCAGGTTGGCACTCCTTGTTTGTTTGAGTGGAACATTCATAAAAATGTCTTATAAACTGATTAATGTCAAACTTTAACGGGCTTTGCAGGAAAAGTTACCTTTCTAGCTTGGAGACAATGGGTATGAGTTATTTATCTCTTATCAGTTAATTCACACCATACACACAACATGTAGAATGACTCTCTGTTTATTTGAAGAATGAAGACTTGATCATATTGTTCCCCTTTGCTTCTGTTAACCAGGTCAGTCGCTTACTGATTTTGGGCGGTGCGAATGTGAACTACCGGACGGAAGTATTGAACAACGCTCCAATACTGTGTGTCCAGGCTCACCTCGGTTACTCCGACATGGTGGCACTTCTCCTGGAGTTTGGAGCAAACGTCGACGCCTGCTCAGAGAGTGGGCTGACACCCTTGGGATATGCGGCAGCATCTGGACACCTCAGTGTCGTAAATCTACTGTCAAAAAGAAGAGCTAAGGTAAGTCTTCCAAATATGCTGGGTCCTCCCTCACTCCCAGGAGGATTGATCACAAAATAGGTTCCGATGAAGGTGGCAATTTGGCTCATTTGATCTCTTTCTTCCAGCATGTTCCTATTACAGCATCAAGCTGTTTCTTAAATGATCCCAGTGTCCTGACCCCAACCAACCTTCCTGGTAATGTTTTCCAGGCATTTATTACCCTCAGGGTAAAAAAAACAACCCTCTGTTGAGACATAAACCCCAACTTGTAGCAACCGATTCTATAGCTGTGTGACTGCTGGACCCTGTTGTTCAGAATCCTTTGCCTCTCTGCTTTCCTTAAAAAGTTTGGCTGATTTCTCATTATCTCCAAAGGTGGACCACTTGGACAAGAATGGACAGTGTGCTGTGGTCCATGCCGCACTGAGGGGACACCTGGAAGTAGTTAAGTTTCTAATCCAGGCAGACTGGACCCTAGCAGGGCAACAGCAGGGAGGGTTCAAGAAGAGCCACGCAGTTCAGCAGGCACTTATCGCAGCAGCAAGCATGGGATTCACAGAGGTAATGATCGGCTCCAGGGATGTCTTACTCATTTGATCTGTATTCTTCGAAGTATTGAAATAAGGTGGAACAGTATCTCGGTAGAACTATAGAAATTTACGGCACAGAAGAAGGCCATTCAGCCTATCATGTATGTGCTGGGGGTATTCAGCCGCCCAACCAGTTTGGCTGTGGAGTGACTTGGTTTGGGTTTGTGACCACAATTCCTAGTGGTGTGGTGAGTTTCTCTGCTATGGGAAGGGGCCTTGGTTCAAGAAAGAGAGCGAGAAAAGGAAGGGAAATCAGAGGGTGAGTTGAGTGACTGTGTAATTCAAGGGTGGCAATAGCAGTGGCCTTACTTTATTATCTACTGTTTTTCACTGGGAAACTGAACAAAAGAAAATAGGAGGAAAATTAACCTACAACAAAATGTCACTCCCCAAGAATTCTTTTGAAACGTATTTCCTATCCATTCATAATTATTATTTTTATTATTTTTCATAAGAGAAAATTGTGCCTCTTGCAAATGAAGATCAGCCTCTGCAGCTTTTCTGGATTAGCTTCAGGCAATGTAGTCATTTGGAAATCTTTAGATGTTGGGAATCAAACGTGTTTCAGGCAGGTTCATAGTAATCCAAAGCATTGGTTGACTGTCTTATCTGAGCTGCAAGTATGTCTTCATCCTGTGAGCTAAAGCTCTAACCAGTTAGGCAGTCCTAGGTGTGGAAAAATGCCATGAAGCTCATCGGTCTTTTGTACCACAAGTCAGATGATCGACGTCAATCCTGTGCTGTGTTGCGTTCTGTTTCAGATTGTGTCGTATCTGCTGGATCTACCAGAGAAAGATGAGGAAGAGGTGGAGCGAGCTCAGATCAACAGCTTTGACACCCTTTGGGGAGAGACAGGTATTGATGAGTTAAATCTGCCACCAATGCTGATAGCTTTGTGCATTTCAAACCTGTAGACCTGGACCAGAATTGTTGATCTTTCTTGGGCTGAGACTGGTACTGTTGATATTGCTTGCACGGCTATGAAGACTGTGTCTTTGCCGGTATTAAATCCAGTTCCTAGAATTGCCTCCAACGTATATTATACCTATGGCTGTCTGTCTCTTGTGTGTGTCAATATGACACAGAAGAAATTTCTGGTCTCAGAAGAAATTTGTCATCGTATCGAGCCCCAAATGAAACAGGCCTTTGGGAAAATATTCACACACTTCAGTTCAGCCACTGCGTCCCAAAACTCTAGACACTCTTTCTCTATCCCTCGGTCTTGCCCCTTCCTCCCTTCAGGTGCACAATTGGCTGCCGCGTTTCGCCCACAGAATGCACATTCAATTCACTTTACAGTATATTCGGTGAAGCGCTGAGACGTCTTGAGGACGTGATAAGGCGCTGTATCAAATGCAAAGATTATTATTCTCATAAATCCTGACATTGACTTATCCTGATTTCAGCACTGACTGCCGCAGCTGGCCGAGGGAAGCTTGACGTGTGCAGACTGCTTCTGGAGCAGGGAGCAGCCGTGTCACAGTCAAACCGGCGGGGCATTGTCCCATTATTCAGCGCAGTCAGGCAAGGACATTGGCAGGTGAGACAATTACCAGCTGCTGTCTTCTCAGCTATTTCTCAGATTTTTTTTCAACTTGCTTGAATACATGATTATATTATTAAAAACTCCACTGTACTTGTAGGAAATCTAAAGTTATTAATGCAAGACTAATGAGACAGTCTTTTCTGTTTTACATTCATCTAATGGAATCTCCAGCCCCTCGTCAGACAACAAACATGTTTATAACTTTCCGCTGTTCTCCTTTATGTGGTGGGTTCTGAATCCTCTTGAGACAAACAGATTGAAGATCTTGCCTAACAGACTCCCGAGTCCTCTTACTCAGGCTTCTCCTGTCTTACTTTCTGTTTGTGAACAGTAAAGTAAGAACTGGATCGGTCGTGGAGTCAAACAGTCACCAGATCTCCCCGTCCAGCCTTGTCTACAATGGACAAGATACCAGAGGTTGACTAGCTTGTGTGGAGCCATGCCCCCTTACAAGAAGAAAGGGAATCAAACGTCTTCAGGAGAGAAGAGGAAAGAAGATTTAAGGAGGATTTATTTTTGACCCTGATTCTGTTTGTATTTTCTGTGTGTATTTTCAGATAGTCGATTTGCTGCTCACTCACGGGGCAGATTCTAACATGGCCGATAAACAGGGACGGACGCCTCTAATGATGGCAGCTTCAGAGGGACACCTCGATACAGTGGAGTTCCTGCTCGCCCAAGGTATGCTTCACAGCATCTTGGGAATATCGATCATTTTATAAATTTGGCAATTTCGGAGAAAGGCTTAGTGCTATAACAGGATGGAGGAATATAATATATTAGGCATATAGACACCAGCCTGTGTTAGTGCAGCTCCATGTATGTCATTTATAGTGTAGAGAAGGTATGGCTTATAATCATAATTCTTGCATCTGATATATCGCCTTATCACGTCTTTGAGTCATCTCAAAACACTTCACAGAATATACTGTAAAGTGAATTGACAGTATTTTTTTGTGGGCGAAACGTGCCAGCCAATTGCGCACAGCAGCGTCTCACAAAAAGTCGTGGATTGATGGACAAATTATTTTTTATTCTTTATTATTATTTATCTGTTTGGTTTAATTGGTAGCATTCTGCAAACCTAATGTAATATAAGGATTATTATTAGATGAGAGCTATAATCCATTGAAGCACATGCCAGACCAGCCAGAGTAGAGGGCTGTTGTTTCTCTCCAAACCCAGAGAGAATGTGTTGGGATTTCACTTTTTCTGGCAGACAATAAATTACTGACTACGCTCAGAACCAGTGTTTAGTTTAAACACGCTGTGATTCATGAAGTCAGAAAATGGTCATCAAGTCCTCAAATGGACTGAAAAATAGGAAAATAACCAGTGTATGTACTCGGAGCGAATAAAGCACTGTTTTGTGTGTTTTCTTAATCATTTTTTCCCCAAACAAGTCAGTGATGTTTGGCTTAGGGACCAATTAATTGTGAGGTGTATAAAATGACTCATGTATATTAGAGTGTCTACCAATTGAAGACTGTGTTGGGGGGAAGTGGGCGGAGGGAGAGAGGTGCTCTGATAGCTTGTGTTCATCTGAATGCCTCCACAACGGGTGTTTCTCTTCTACAGGAGCTTCGCTGGCGTTGATGGACAAGGAGGGGTTAACGGCCCTCAGTTGGGCATGTCTGAAAGGTCACCTGCCTGTGGTCCAGTCGCTGGTAGAGAGAGGAGCTGCTACGGACCACGCGGACAAGAATGGCCGAACCCCGCTAGATCTTGCTGCGTTTTACGGTGACGCCGATGTGGTAAGAATCAAGGACAAGTGAAGAGCCCTCGCCTCACAAGCGAGAGGACCTGGGTTCGGTTCCCGGACAGGGTGAAACTTTGGGCAAGTTTCCTTACTTCACACACACGCCTCTGTTTACCCAGCAGCAAGTAGGAACCCGCTTGTTAGTCGATTGGCGGATTGCTTTTCTGGGGGTAACAATCCCTTTTTTTAAAAAAACGTCACTGAATCCACGACTGATTGTGGGACGGACGCTGCTGTGTGCAATTGGCTGCCTCGTTTCGTTCCCAAAATATACAGTCAATTCACTTTACAGTATATTCTTTGAAGCGCTTGGAGACGTCCGAAGACATGAAAAGGCGCTATAACAAATGCAAGGATTATTATTATGTTAATTTCACGGAACATCTTTAGAATGTTTTCGCTTTAACTCCAGCCCAATATGTTCCAATGGATGTATATGTTGAAGAAGACAGGAGAGGAAGCACTGTTCTGTTGCCGTGCATTGAGGCAGCGCTCTGAATAAAATTATGAATCATTATGTGAGTCAGATGAAGATGAGATTCCAAAAGAAATGTGTCACCTCTTTGCCTCCCCACCCGGTCATTGCATGAATCACAGTCGGTGCATCATGGCACAGAGGGAGATTTTCTGACCTGGAGCTGATGTCAGTAGAGTTTCTAATCTCCGGATTTCCCGGTTGTTCTCACAGGTGCAGTTTCTGGTGGACCACGGAGCAATGATTGAGCACGTCGACTACAGCGGTATGAGACCCCTGGACAGAGCAGTCGGCTGCCGCAACACTGCGGTGGTCGTCACCCTCTTGAAGAAAGGAGCTAAGATAGGTACGTCTCCTGGGGGCAGCACCTCTTGCCAGTGTCCAGGCTTATTACATTATATGTGCTTCCCACAGAGGACAAGGCAAGGTTGGAAATGTAGCTCCTCAAGGATTGAGGATATTGCCCTTGTTTTTCACTGAGTGAAGGCTTGCGTCAATATTTTGAAATTCATCTATTTGACAAAAACAATAATTTAAAATTCATCAGTTACGCTTTTATTTTGGGAACATTAACACCAAGAGAACATGTCCAGGTCACATTTTGAGAATAACCGGTGATTTTAACATCTTCAACGCTAAATTAAACTCCAATTTCATGCACATTAATGTGGGTGTACCGCACATTAACCTCAAGGGCACTGTGTTTCAGCTTTGTTAGACATGGCATTATATGGCTGCTGATATCATTCCAGCTGGTCCTCGTGCGGAAACTAATTTTACTGCACTTGTAGTTTTAAAACCGCAAAAATGAAATCAGTATTTTGGTTTGGATATCGGGTTATTAAAAAGTCTTATTGAATTCAGCTGATAACTAGTTCAACATGATTAAAATTTGGATCTGGATTTTTAAACTGTAAGTGTGAGAGAGTATATTATATTTCTGCTATTGGTTCTGCTGCTGAATTATTCCCAAATTCTGCAAAATATACTCGCTTTTCTAGGGGTCATAATCCTTAATTTGAAAAAATGTAGTCACTCAATCCACGACTCTTATTGGGGCATTGGCTGCTGCATTTCTTCCACAAAATATACAGTCAATTCACTTATTATATATTCTGTGAAATGGTTTGAGATGTCTGGAAGACGTGATAAGGCGCTATATCAAATGCAAGGATTATTATTCTAGTTTTCAGCAGTTGGCATTGTCTAAATTATATAAAATCCTTTTAACGGTCTAGGTTGATGTATTTCAGTTGATTCCAGAGTCACACTCGCCTCTTGGACAAATACAAGTACTAACCAGGCTCCCGACCACACGGCTCTCCGTAAAGCTTTCATCGAAGCTGTTCTGAGCCAGGAGGACAAGGCCAAGTCACGGCCAGCTCTCGCGTGTTTCCTCCTGTAAGGAAGCACTTGACCTGCCCTGTGTGGTGCAGCTCAGCAGATGGGAATATCACATTGTTTGTGTCCTCCCTGCACTCCTCCGTTGCCTTCATTTTCTAACTTTAGATTAAAATCTGCTGCCTCTTCCGCAAATCTCTTTAAGTCTTCCCGGGAGTGTCCCAGTGTGAGGAAAGGAGAACACACTTCCACTCTTTGAGACATTAAAGAACAAATTTCACTTTAAACTTTTGATCCTTCCAGAAACATCGCTCTTCATCAGTGCTACATAATCTTTGGTGTCACTGAAGCACTTTCTGTCAAATTGTTATCCTTTTTCTATGTTAGTCTTTCTATGGACCCAGAAAGCACCAGTCCTGCCCAGTTGACATTATGCTGATTTAAGGTATATGGTAGGAGGGATGGGAGGACTGATCCAAACTTACCCAAGTACCCGTTAAGATTTTAACATGTCAAGGTTCAATATCTTCCCTGTATATTGCAGGAGATAGGTAGGCAAGTGACCAGAATAATGCAGAGGGTTGAAATAAAGTATCTCTTGCTTCTGCCTCTCCTCTCGCTGTCTCCTGACTGGTGTCCATTGGATTAATTCTATCATAAATTATTGACTGGATGACCTAGTTACAATTACAGCAAGCAAAACCAACGGCAGGCAAGTTGTGTGGGATTCACTTGATGACTTGGCCTTTTTACAAACGGCACAATTTAATTTGGGTGCTACAGATCCAGGCTGTGTGCCCCCCCACCATCGGCGATTGAGCCTTCAGCCTCTCTGGCCCCACCCTTTGGAACTCCATCCCACAGTCTTTCTCCTTACTCCCTCCCTTACCTGCTTCAAGGCACGTCTCAAGGCCCTCCTCTTCAACTGCGCCTTCAGCCATACTCCTACCCCTGCCCTCCTCGCCTCTCACAGATCTCAACCCCCACAAGGGTCCAAACCCCTGACTTTCCAGCACCTTGGGATGTCCTTCCAACGTGAAAGGCTGTGTAAATGTCATTTAATGTTGTATTCTCTGATCTTACCTCCTCCGTCCCCCATATTTACCCTTTTCTGGGCATCATATGAAGGTGTAGCAGAGACCTTGGGCGAGGTCAGCTCGAATCATCTCAACCAGTGCAGACACACCAATGTTACCAAATTCATCATAATTCTGATCCAAATTTGATAACAAACAGCATTCTCATATTTTGGATAATTTTGAGAGATTTGATTGTTTATATTGTACATTTCACTTGGTTCCTCTTAATGTTGCTGTGGCTAATTGCTCATGTAATTTATGTCCACTGTGGGGGAGCAGGATAGAGGCAAAGAGGAGGTCTCCTACACTCAGCTCTCAGATGCGTCATCAAAGCAATCCTGCAATGTTTTGGAAGTAAATTATGATCCTGATCTTTGTCCTGTGAGAGGGGGGGGTGCAGATGTATTTGTTTGCTGTGATGTTAACACTGTGATAGAAGCAAGTGTGTTTGTGTAGACTCCAGACACATTAATGCTGTCAGAATCCTATCCACGTGAACCTTTCTTGAAGGTTGTTCTTCACCCACAATCCACATCAATGAGCTTAACTGCACAAGATATTAATAATTCAGGCTGCAACCTCCAGAAAACTATTTGATGTCCTGAACCAGTATATTGTGTGACTCAGTATGTCAAGACCTTGATGTTTCATCTGTTCCTCCTCAAGAACTATTTGAAGCCATTTTACCTATTTAAATGCTTTTTGGACTCTAGTGTTGAGATCCTTATCTGTGCTTATAGATGCACTTCACCAAATGCTACTGTATTTCAGGGGCCTGGGAATAGAATGATGTGTTTCTTTGCCATTCAGAAATCCCATCGTTCATGTTGGGATTTTATTAAGCAACCCACTAATTATTACTGATGCTGTTGCAAATAGCTTTTTCATTTTAGCAGCTAAATGCTGCTAAAATGAAAAGATATCAAGACCCTCCTTCGGTTACCATCCTAACCTTGCCCTCCACCCCTCCTGATCCTGACCCCTTGCTCGGGTCCAAATCCATGGCTGTCCAGGGCTTTGGGACGTCCTACCGACTTGAGAGTTCCTATACAAATATAATTTGTTGTTAAATCAAAATATTTCAATGCATGGAGATTAGAGAGTTGGTGAACAGCCAGTCTCAATCCTGTTTGGAGTATTTTTGCTTTAATATACAGTTTGAATATACTGCTCCTCTATAAATCACACACAATACAGAGGTTACTTTGGTAAAAATGATCGATATTCTACAGTTAAAATGTCTTGTAGCTGAAAGGCTGTATGAGATTTCTGGACTGGATAACAAGGCATTTTACTCCATGCACTCAAGAACGCAAGTCCGGGTGCCGAGGGAAGTGAAAGTTACCAGCCCTTGTGTAAACGGTCTGTTTCTTAGAACTGTGAAGAGCAAAATATATATGTATCTTTTATCTCGTGAATTGTTGTATTGATGGATTTCCCTTCCAAGGGTTCCCACCTCCATTCTTATTTTTAAGGTTTGCTGATTTTGTTGTGTTGTAATGAAATGGTATTCCAGTGCCGTATCAAACCCAAAGTCACTTGTTAGTCGGACCTTCAATTCAATGTACTGCGATTGACTTTCTGGTGCATTTACAATGTAAGACCCTAAAAGGAAAACTTGAGGTGAGGCCTGGGAAATTTTTTTGGACCACTTAGCGTTTCAGGTTCTTTTAGGGACCCGAGTCTCAATCAGACAAGATTCTTTCAAATTACTTTGTGTGAATACACGATTGAGGGAATCTAAATCTATTTGTTTTATATCACGTGTGCTATTTGGTGAAATTCAGTGTCTACGTTAAGAATTGAGACTCGGGGGACCCTTTCTGGTTTCTTCTGGCTCTAGAGTTGCTGCTTTTGTGTGTATGTGCGAGTGTGTGTGAGTGTTTTAGATAGCTTTATGTGCTTCAGATAGCTGGTGTGCCTTCACGCACCACCTATATGCTGTTTTTTTGTACAATGATTTGCTGATGCACTAGCTTTGCTGCTTGCTCACTGCTCCTTTTTGCTTCCTTCGCTTTTTCATTCTCACACTCTCAACCCTCTCCTTTTCCTTTTGTTTCCCCCCCCAATTCCCTTCGTTCCCTCCCACCCGCACTCTTCATTCATCACTCAAAAGGCTGCCAAACACTCCCGAGTCGGCCTCGAGGTACATCCTGATGACTTTTGAGTTTTGGCTTTCTTCCTAGTTGAGTCTGGATTGCATGAAAATCCTCGTGTTTTAGTTTCTTTCTCTCAATGAAAAACACCCAATAGGATTGTTGTAGAGGACAACTTATTTGGCAGTAGGTAAAATAATAAAAAAAAATGCAGTTCACTGTTGCACATCCTTGGTAATTTGTAACTCTCACATGTCCTCGCAATCCAAGAACATGGTTATATCCGTTGTCCACAACCACGGTGCAACATGCAAGTAAATTGCTATCTCTGCCCATAACAGTTAATCCCATCAACATGTGCTCACTAATTTTACTTGTCCAACTTGCTGCTAGTTTCAGGATAGTTGATCTAAAAGAGAATTCCTTCCAAAGACCTGATATCTCTCCTCCCCACGACGCACGTTCAAGCTGGTTTCTAAAAGCCTACAGACACTGAACAAAGTTATTCAGGAATTCTTTGAATACTAAATATTCAGACATTTGATGATCCATCTAATGTGCCAACCTTCTACAATGAATTCATACTGCAGCGTATCAACATGCCAGCTTCATAAACAGTCATTACAATATTTTTCCGTCGTCATGGCCCAGGAGATTGCAGTCAGACAGCCAGCTGCCAATGAAACTAATTCTTCAGTTAATTTTCTGTAACATTGCTGATGACTGTCAGAGGCTGAAATGTGGATCTGAAGAGGCTTCAGATCAAATCCCTTGGAGATTATCTTCTTGACAGGCAAGCACCTATGCAAATAACATAAGACAACCCCATCTTAAGATTTGTCACATATTAAATCCAAAATCTCAAATGACGCCCTTAACACAGACATCTGCGTGCAATTGAGTCACTGAGAACCTTGTAAAGGTAATGGAAGCTGTTTGCGATGGCTTGAAAAGACGTCAGTGAAAGCAACACATAATCATGTTGACTTGTTAATCAAATCGCTCTGTGACGTCTCGAAGACTTGATAAGGCGCTATGGCAAATCCAGGATTATTATTATTTTTAAATCCACTCTGGGACCCTCAGTAAACTTACCAATTTGAACGTGGTAATTTATGCCATGTATTAACTGTATTCATTTCTTTGGCAAATTCATTGTTACAACTTGTATGTTTACTTGGTTAGTCTGATCATTATACCAAGACACAGTGGTCAGCGATTTTAGCCACCTTCGCTTCTCTCAGCATTTTCACTGCATTCACCACTTCCTGACCTAAACCAGCTAGAAGCACAACAATAGAAATATTTTTGGCCAACAGCCATGGTATAGGCACTTTTGTGCAATAATAATTAAACTGTTTAGTTTCTAAACAACTTAAAATAACCCCAAGGCACTGTTGTTGAAGTGTATGGTCCCAAATAGAGCGAATTAGAATGAGCTATGAGATAATCATCAAATTAAAACATGCTGCAAAGATGTTCTAAAAATCTTTGTATGATTTGCAGATCTAATTTCCAATAAAACATCCACAACAACAGATTACTAACCCGAGTTCAGTTAGATGGTGTTCAGCGCCTGCAGCATGCAGGAAACTTAGTGCGCGCTCTCTCCCTCAACACCATCCTGCGCGTCTCTCAAGAGAGGACGAGTCACAGTGAGTCAGTCCGTCTAGCTCCCCTTAAGATTCCTTCAATGGATCGATTCCTAAATCTCATCATCTTGAAACCTTTTATCTCACAGCAATTTTAGTCATTCTTGAGTTTTATAGTTGTTCCACCACCTGTAACTATCTCTTTACTAATCTCTTTTATCTTTATATGTAACAGCCCCAGTGTCCCAATCCTGTGACTTACCAGTAAATCAAGTCTTATTCTACCCCAATACTGCACTGTTCATTGCTTTCTACCAAATAGGCATTTGCTATTCCAGTTTAATGCAGAGTGTGAACCTTAGGCAACAGTGGGCTGTGGAATCCCTCTCTAAAATTCAGGTAAAATAATATCTGCAATCAATTCCATTCACTCGGTCTATAATTTCTGCAAAACAATTCCAGTAAATATTGCTAAGCAAGACCCCTCCCGATGCTTTTATAGAATGGCGGAACAGGCTTGGGGGGGGGCTGAATGGCCTACTCCTGTTCCTATTTCATCGTCGTCCCCCAGCTGTCTGTGGTTAACCTGTAATTCTCAGGAAGATCCCTTTATCATTCCTGCAATCAACAGTGCTTTACAGGGCTGCAGCTTAATTGCATTGTCGTGCAATAGTTTAAAGGTTATGCCTTTGAAACTTAGAGCACACACTGCAATAGTGAAGATGGCCGAGACAGCTCACCACCCATTTAGATAAACCCTGTCGGGTTTCTGCGTTGGTGGAAATTGATGACCTTGCCTCTTTTAAAGGGATCCGTCAAATTCGATATTGGGTTCCACAGAACCGTCCTGTTTGTCTTTGAAATTATTCTGATCTCCCAAAAGCCACAAATCCCGCTCTTTTACAGCCACTGCTAATAATTGTCCTTTTCACTGGTTGACCTCTTCAGGGCAGAGCAACGACCCATTTAACTAAACCTTCCAATGATGATTTTAAGCTGTAACTCTTGCCGCTGGGCTGGTCAGTTGCATTTCAGAGCACCGTTCTACACATGCCAGCATGCATCTCGTTACAAAATAGGCTTATTGACTGAAGTGGAACAAATGAACCATAAACTTGATAATATAGTTTTAAAATATTTCAGGTAGCACCACTATATTTTTTCTCTCTCTCTCTGAGAGTTGTGATTCAGCTTCTGTCTGAAAAGTGAGAATCTCCTCCTTTCCATAATCACTATTAAACAGACAGATTTGAGTTAAGTATGTGCAGTCTCTTGATCTTCATTCTCAGTCGTCAGAACAAAATGAGGCCTGGGCAGAAAACCCAATGAATACATCAGACTGGCATATAAACTGTCTTTGTAGCTTCCATACACAACTTAAAGCGGTGCTCAAGTTCACTGCTGCTCCACAGTTTGATCAGAAACTCAGTTACAGTCATTACATTGCAAACTGCCTGACAGGCTTAGAGTGCTTGGGACTACTGGCTTGAGCGTGTGACAGCCGGTTTATTTGTTAATTACACCTCAACAATCAGCAGGTTAGTGAATCTTGCAAACAAAACCATTTCAGAGATTCGCAAGCAAATCTGTCTCGCAAGTTTGGCTAATTAGGGCCCTATGTGAGCTTTTACCTGCTCCACTTTCAAAGATTTAACAGGCTTACTGCAGAGTGGAAACATGAACAGCTTCCTAATACTGTACAACAATCACACCAACGTGCACCACGTAGAAAGTAGCGTGCACGATTAACTGCATTGCCACTCACCTGAGGTTTAGGATTAAATTAATTTGATTTTAGTCTGCGTTCAAATATTATAAGCTCTGGACCTCAACGAACCAAAATACCATTTGGATTGCTGATTCTGTGACTGAATACTCCAGCAGCACAGTAGGTTGTTCTCTACCTCCAATCACCTATAGGTGTTCTCCATATAACTTCCTACCCTGTCATTCTGTGTGTTTTACCCCTCATGCATCCTGTGTACTGCAGGTCCAGCCACGTGGGCAATGGCCACCTCCAAACCAGACATCATGATCATCCTCCTGAGCAAGCTGATGGAAGAAGGCGACATGTTTTACAAGGTGGGGCAAAGCTGCTTTATACTTAACCTTTACCGGGTAAACTCCAGTTCACCCTAACCTGGCACCCTAACATTTACATTTTTGTTCACACTTTCTTACCCCAGATTTTCTTACCCCTTTTGGATAATTTTCCCATGCTTTGTGCTGCTCCCATCATTAAGGTATCCATCTCTCTTCAGCCCTCTGCCATGCTAAATGCGCTCTATCCGCTCCAAGCGCTCTGGGACACTACCCTGCGTGAGGGGCCACTGTATAAATGCAAGTTGTTGTTGTAAATCTACTCTTGATTGACTTCATCTTACCCACTCTGTCTCGTGGAGGGAGAGTATTGCACAAATGCTCCCACAGGTTCAGTAGTGAAACATTTACCATATTTATCCATTCCCACATCTCCACTGTTTAATCCTAGCCCCATTTCCCTCAGTGGCCACATTTTTCCCCCATCTCTTTCCCCAGATCCACATAGATCACTGTTTTTGTGGAATACTTAAGCCTGCATCTGCCTGTACTCGCATTCCTGAACGCGCTTTGACCAGATTGGCTTTGGCACCAGGGAAATCTGTTGTGGATTACCCACATACTTAGATCAAAAAGGTTGTCTTGAAACAAATACATTTGTTGGGGCTGGACAGCAAGAGTTATATTTGTAATTTATCTTCACTATTGACCTTGGCACCGTGTGCAAATTCACCCAGGATAACACATTGAGACCTCAGCAGCTTCCAACTGTGTTTCAATCATACAGCTTGATCTCGCCTTTTTTTTAAACATTCAACAACTACAAATGACATTTACACAGCGCCTTTTAGATCAGGAAGATGTCCCAAGGTGCTGGGACAGTCAGGTGTTTGGACCCGAACAGAGGGTTGCGATCTGGAGGGCTGCAGGACAGGGGAGGGAGTAGTAGTAGAGTGGCTGAAGGCGCGGTCGAAGAGGAGGGTCTTGAGCTCACCACGACATTAGCATCCCTGTTGCAGAAGTGTTCACGTTTAATGAATAACCTGGATATGTGATACCATTGTAAGTATGCTGTGGGCTACTGATCCCAAGAAGGGCACTAATAGAATTTTGGAGATGTTTCTTTGAACTAATGAAGAGTACACGACACAGTGGATTGAATCAACTGGAAACACTTGCTCATAGCACTAAATACAGCACAGCCGCTATTAATCATTTACATTGCTCAGTGCATTAAGATAGTCTTTGTAGCTCTAGCCATGGTTCACAGGTTGCAGTGTGGTTGAATCCAACCCATTTCTGTTCAGTTTGATTTTGTGCATACTTCAGCTCAAGCATTTTCAGCATACATCACTCAAGGTCAATCTATAAATATTGTTGCCCAGTAGAGAGATCAAACCCAATGAATTACCTGTTGTAAGATCTTGCCTCCAGGGCCTCCTCCATTACATAGATTCAAGCACGAGACTGATTGTGACCTGGATATGAACGTATTTGTTCTTTTCGATATAGATTAGCTGGTACAGTTGGCATCATTAATTTGTTTGAAAGATGCCGAAATAATTTGCACTGAGGTTCACCGAAGTTTGTCACACCCGAGCGGCATATCCTCTCTTGTCATTTTATATTTCTGCCGCCTCACACTTACCACAAGACGCCCACAAAACACACAGTCAATTCACTTTACAGTATGTTCTGTGAAGCGCTTTGAGACAACCCGAAGACGTGATAAGGCCCTGTATCAAATGCAAGGATTATTATTGTTACCATGATAGTAACATTTTTTTTCCCCTTCTCTGTCGTGATCAGAAAGGCAAAGTGAAGGAAGCAGCACAGCGGTACCAGTACGCACTGAAGAAGTTCCCTCGGGAAGGATTCGGAGAGGATCTGAAAACGTTCCGGGAACTGAAGGTGTCGCTGTTCCTGAACCTCTCCCGCTGTCGGAGGAAAATGAATGTATGTCCAATGACCTCTTTGGTAAATAGAAAGCGCACGGTTCTTTGTTTAAAGGAGCAAGACCTCCCTCATGCCTTCCACATTAATTAGTATTTCCAGAACTAAAGTTTAAACCGCAAGCCTTGGACCAGAGATTCAGCCCGAACCGCTGCCTCTGTGCAGGTAACCATTAACTTGAACAAACTGGTGCAGGTTGGGTTAATGACCATTGTAGTGATAACCACATTTAATCTTTATAGTTGCTTCTAATTGGGTAATAACTGCCAATGAAAAGGTTTATTTACTGGAGAGCAGTTTGCCATGGTGGGCCCACACTTCTCACTGGGTTTCAGATTCCTAAATTGAATGGGAAGCAGGATTGATTTCAAATCGAAGGCTATTCTCTGAAGAGCTTTCGACTAAAATGAGGGTGAATCTGGAAGTGTCTCAACGTGTGGTTCGGATGTAAACGGAAACCTTTGGTGTATGTGTTCTGTGACTGAGTGCTGGGAAGAATACAGAAAAGGTCACAAGGTGTCATTTATTTCTGGTTCTCTGGCCTTTGCTCATCGCCTTGAGAGATGGACTCAGAATTGCGACTAATAATAATAATCCTTGCATTTGATGTAGCGACTTATCACGTCTTCGTTCGACCACTGAAAACCAGATCGTTCGGCCATTTTAGCACTTAATGCAGTGCACAGCAGACTACCCTGCTTTATATGTGTAATAACGCTGCTTCATTCACTGAGGAATTGGTTGAAAAATGTAGGTTATTTTATAGGTCAGGGGGTCTGTGATTAGAGAAAGGAAAAAGAACTCGCACATACTGACGGATTGTGTTTCTAAATAAAGACTAAAGTCCTAATATTTTGTGCTTGCTAGTTTGAAGCAAAAATGATTTGACAGGTTTTGATGTGACCTACATAGTCCAATTGGGTGAAAAAGAACATTATGAAGACATTCCTGGTAAAAAAAAACATTATAATGACTTTCATAAAGGACCAAAGGTACCTGTTTCGCAATGTCAGTCATGCTACTAAAGACACTTTACTTCACAATTTACTGTATAACTGTACGATTTACATTGGTTGTGATGATCAGAGTATTTCATAAGAACATAAGAATTTTAGTATTATTATTTGTTATAAGAACTTGCTGGCAAAAGAAGACCATGGTCCATCCAGTTCACCTTCCACTATCTTGGCAGTCGCATGACATGTCGTGTCCCAAACTATATACTGTGTCTCAAGATATTATTTCCTAACAGAAATCTTATCTGATTTGTTCTGGAAAGAATCAACATTTTCTAAATAATACAGCCACCAGCCACAGTCTCCCTAGAGAGCCTGTTCCACACATTTACTACTCGCTCACTGAAGTAGTGATTCCTCAGAAATGAATAATGATTATTTAATAATAATAATACTATTCCTGGGATTTAGTGTAGCAGATTATTTTGTATCTTCCTTTGAGAAGGGGCTCAGCAGCGCCCTGAGGAGGTGAGCTTGGCAGAGGCCAGGCAACTCTGCAGGATCCAAGGCAGACTTTGAGGTACGGACATGCCCTCGCCCTGCGATCTGACGTTGTGAGCCTGGGGTGTGTGACCGTAGTTTGGACAAGCAGTATTGCTGAACGGTTACCATTTTTCCCTTGATCATGCAACAGAAAGGCGGCCAAGAAATGAACTCTAGGTCAATACTGTGTTCCCACAAAAAGTTACCATTGAAAACATTTTACAAGGTATTTGCTGCAGAATCCATGTGGTGCACCAGTCTATTAATACGCTGCGTTACGTGATTGAACATGGTTTCTAGCCCACAATTTCATTGTGTGTCCCAGCAGTGGGGTCGGCTGACCTGTTTCAGGGCTCCCACCCTGCCAAATTGCTTTTCTCCTGCTCAACTGTGCCACAAAATAAGTATTTAACAAACTCTTTCACATATTCTCGACAGAGTCTATAAAAGTCTCCCGCCAGTACCAAAAGATAAATCTCTGACTTGGCTGAGACTGAGTGAAGTAATGCACATTGTTTTGCGCACAAAATATATAGTCCACGACCGTTTGTGGGACGCTGCTGTGCACAATTGGCTGCTGAATTTTGCCCACAAAATATACAGTCAATTCACTTCACAGTAAATTATGCAAATCGCTTTGAGACGTCTGGAAGACGTGATGAGGCGCTGTATCAAATGCAAGAATTATTACTATTGTCATATAGGCAAAGAACGGCATGAAATACTCATTCTTTTATGCAGTAACATTACCACAGTGCAAGGAAAGAGATTGTCTATTATTTAATTAAGGATGAAATAGTGTGCGCACAATTTGGATGTTAAACCATTGTTTAATTTGTTGTGGTTCCTCAGTCAGTGATTATCACACTACCACTGGGTGCGATAATGAGAATGATTAGGTTTTCAGGAAATAAGTATTGATCAGTTACCACATCCCCTGGTAGTGTAGTCGGTGGCTGGGAATCAGTCAGACCTGTATCTCACTGACACTGCCTAAAACACCTTCAATTATACCCCAAATCAGAATCACATTTGTGTACATGTTATCAGTATTCGTATTGCAGGAACGCTCCCGAACTTCAGACGATGAGTGGGGTTACCCACATTCCTGTCCCAGTTCTATTCCTTGTACAATAATAAGGTAACAAGTACCAGATGTACTTTAACACATCAGTACCTTATTTCCACTCACTTTCACACAGGTGGCATCCACCTTATTTAACTCTTTCCTTACTGCCTGCAAGGTATTATGGACGTCTCTCTGGCTGGTGTGATGTTGGGTTCCTTTTGTCACAGTTCTACACCACCCCTGTCCAGGAGCTTCAGTCAAGCCCTTCCATTCTAGTCCAGTCATGAACTCAATGATCCACTTGTTCCAGTTTGATGTTTGCCCTGCCCATGGGCAGCGGAGTCTAACCGTTGTCTGATCACAAGGCTAACATCAAATTTAGAGTGTTCCACATGATGTATTGAAAGTAATTCAGTGGTAACCAGTTTGATAGAGCAGCGGCCACCAATCACCTTAAAAATGTGCTAACCCAAATTCATAAACTTGTTTAAATACAAGGAATCCCATTGCCTTTATCTGCAGGAAGCTGGGAATTCTGTGCTGATGAGGTGAGAGCTGTTGGGAACGGTTGAGAGTAGGTCACTTTGGGGAAATCCCATGTAGGGATTTGCAATGTCAGAGAAGTAAAACCATTCAGATTAAATTTGCCTGGCTATTGCATTGCTGTGTCCAACCTCTGTCGGGCATTGACAAAGATGTTCTTATACCAAATCAGCACTTAATATCAGAAATGAGCTTTCGCCCACAAAACAGTCAGTCCACTTTACAGTATGTTACGTGGAGCGCTTTGAGATGTCCCGACAACATGATAAGGCGCTGTATCAAACTCAAGGGTCATGATTATTATTTGTTTGGGTAAACTTATTATTATCCTTTTATATGGTGAGGTTGAACTTTTCTTTGTACAATATTTGTCACAAAGCATTGAGGACATGCTTGAAGCGTGATTTATGAGTTATTCTATCGCACAAACCGTACCATTCGTTCCCTGGTGTGAAACATCGCCTCAGGCTGCGAGCACTATTCGCCTACTCATCAGGACTGAGCTGCTCTCCTTCAACCTCTTGTCGAGCTTCAAAACAACACAGCAGCTTGTAAATGACAGCAGTAGTTTCTGCGTCTGCTATGTCAGTGCCTAGCTGGTCCTAATCTCGCAGGGCCTGCCCCGCTCTTCCCTGCCGCACACCCTCAGCTCCTCATTTGTACCAGCTCTTGTTATTTTTTTGTTTTTTGACATGATGGCTTAAAGCTGCTGTCAAAGGTTCTCATCGTGGGTCAGGGATCTTTCAAAGCCTGTTCCCAGGTCGGGGGGGAGGGATAGAGAAGGTCTGAGTCAACCATCCGTCACAACTGGACACAAACCAAGTTTCTTTGCATATCACTTGGCCTCAGTGCCTCCTGGAGTCTCTCGCCTTCTGCAGTCAATATTTGTACATACAGCAATTTGATTTGGTTGAAACTGAATTGAGTGTGGTCAGACTGGATTAGATCTCCTTCTAACATATGGACTGAGCGTCAAAACAATCTATTGTCTTGAGTTACATCAGTAGCTGTGAGAGCTGTGAAGTATCTTTTGGAATAATTTGATTTTAACTAACTCTTTTTACCCTGGGCCAGGATTGTGGACCACTTGGCTGGCATCACCTGGCTAATAGTCCACTAAACGAATGGACGGTTGCACAGTATTAACTGGATTTCTTTCCCCCCCACCCACCCCTCCTCAGCCAGTACTGTGCCCAACATTTGTTGATGTGTGTATATGTATTATGTCTGGCAGGATTTTGGGATGGCAGAAGAATTCGCAACCAAAGCACTGGAGCTGAAACCGAAGGCATATGAGGCATATTATGCCAGAGCCCGAGCCAAGCGCAGTAGCAGGTAAATTAATAATGTGAGAGTCACCTTACTGTATGGGCCCCACAGCCATCCACACAATGGACCAAACACCCAAAGACTCCCGTCCCCGCCCAGCACAACAGCACTTCTGTGCTCACTGTATGTACACTAGATGCCTGTTTAGTAGATAATGGACTCCTGTAGAAATTTCAGTGCAAAAAGCAAAACATAGCACTTCATGGCAGTTTAGCCCATTTATGAAGAACAACAACAACAAATGACATTTGTATAGCGCCTTTCACGTCGAAAGGATGTCCCGAGGCGCTGGATAGTCGGATTTTGACCTGATCAGACGGGATGGAGGGCAGGGAGGGCAGTGGTAGGAGGATGACCGAAGGCGCAGTCGAAGAGGAGGGTCTTGATCCGTGCTTTAAAGGAGGCAAGAGAGGGAGCGAGGCAAAGGGACTGTGGGATGGAGAACTGCAACATTTGATGTTTACTATAGCCTTGTAAGTTTTACTGACTTCAGATTATTGGGTATTAAACGTTTACAGAAATGCATGAAGGAAAAGCCGTGTGTGTTTTCCAAACTGAATATTGTCAACTCCATTAACAAAATATTCAGATCACCAAAAGTTACTTTACAGGATTTCACGGGGAGTTATCGCTGTGTCCTAATCAGCACCATACGAACTGATAAAAGCTTCATCCAGGAGTCACACAGAGGCAGAAAGCAATTTCCCCCACAGTAGCAGAGGGCAGCTCCTTCCGCACAGCGAGGGAGTCAGGCTAGACTGTGGGCATTGGCAGTCCTGTCAGCCAAGGCCTGATTGCATAACAACCAGTGGCAAAGCGCGTTTCACGTTGGGAGGATGTCCCAAGGCACTGGACAGTCAGGAATTTGGACCCGAGCAGGGGGTTGGGATCAGGAGGGTGGATGGCGCGGTTGAAGATGGGTCTCGAGATGTGCCTTGACTGTGGGATGGAGTTCTAAAGGACGGGGCAGAGAGGCTGAAGGCCTGACCACTGATGGTGGGGCATACATTTCAGATCTGACATTAAGAATTGAAGGGGTGGGGAGGAGAGGAGGTTGGCCAAAATGTGGAATTCTCTGCCACAAACTAGTTGAGTCAGAGTTCATAGATTCTTGTGAAAGAGAATGGGTGATGAGAGGGAATCGGATCGAGCAGGCAAATGGTACTGCGGTGGATGGAGAAAAAAAAACAACAGACTGGAAGGATTGAATGCCTTGTTCCTGCGCTGTAACAATCTATGATTCTTAGGACGAGTGCTTGCCATGCTGTATGTAATAAAATCTATAAATAATATGTGACAACTTAATTTCAATCAGCTGCTGTGTTTATCTTTATTAGCCAGGCCGCTATGGACATTATGAAAGATCAGATAGCTCAGAGTTATTCATCAGCAAACACAAGCCACTGTTGGCATCTGGTCAAATATGAAGCAAACTTGCGGTTGACATGCCTGAATGTAGATGGCCCTCTAGGGGTGAGACTGTGTGGGGAATCATCCTCCTAACTCACTGCATTTCTATTGTGTGGCGTTTTATTTCTTCCCTTAACACCCGGCTGCTACAACTCACAAACAACCAGCAACTTTACCTGGGCAAAATGTCATCGATTAAAACCAAAATAACAACTCCTAATTGGTCATGTCCTTGATTATTCCGACCTCTGGGTCCAAATAAATATATTTTGAAGTGAAAAGCAAAATACTGCAGATGCTAGAAATCTGTATATAAAACAAAACAACAGAAATGGCAGGGAACGCTCAGCAGGTCAGGACAGCGTCAATGGAGCAAGGAAAGCGAGTTAACGTTTCAGGTCATATTTTGAAGTGTGCTATCTGGTACCATAGCAACTGGCGGTTAATGTTATCGTGATATTTCTCACTGACCTACATCAAAGGCCCAGATCTGGAGCTTAACATCACACCCCCACCCGGAGAGAGGAGAACCTTTGATCTGGGGTTGGTGAGAGCAGTGGAGACTTGCGAAGGCCAAGCAGAAGGGAGACACGGTTACTGAATCACTGACTGGAGGGTGCGCACTGCTGAACTGATATCTGAGCCATCTACAAGATGACCAGATTTGGGAGTATATTTGCTCTCTTCGTTAGGCAATGCTGTCTGGTAGTAGGCAGAGGGAAAGCTGCCTATCTGTGCTGGGCAGTGCCAGTCCCTGGGACGGAAGGATTCATAGGAACATTGGATGCTATTCAGTTCCTCAAGCCTGTTCCGCCATTCCATTAGATTACGGCTGATCTGTACCTCAACTCCAATTAGAACAACAACTTGCATTATATAGCGCCATCCACGGCGGCGTCTCAGAGCGCTCAACAATGGTGGAGCCCGAAGCCGAGCCAGGGGGAGGGGGAAGGTGACCGTAGGCACGGTCGAAGAGGAAGGTCTTAAGGTAACCTGAACATGGGGAAGGGGTGAGGTGAAGGGGTTGAGGGAGGGAGTTCCAAAGTTTCAGGGCATAGTAGCTGAAGGCAAGGCCGCCGATGGTGGAACGGAAGATTCGGGGGAACAAGGATAAGGCCGGACCCAGTAAGAGCAGAGGCAGTGGGTACTGCTGTGGGGCAAGAGGAGATTAGAGAGATGGGGGGGAACCTAAGGAAAGTTAGAGATTTAAACAGTAGAGTGAGGATCTTGAAGTCGATCCGCTCTGACCAGGAGCCAGGGGAGTTTGGCAAGGACTGAATATAGTGACTTTACGCACAATTCCTATTTATAGCTCTGGAAGTTTTGAATGAGCTGAATTTTGTGAATTGTGGAGGAGGGGAGACCAGCAAGGAGGGCGTTAGAGTAGTCCAGCCGAGAGGTGACAGAGGCATCGATAAGGGTTTTGGCAGCTTTGGTTGGGGTATTGTCAGAGACGGACAATGTGGTGGAGGTGGGAGAAAGCCGTGCTGGTCGGGGACCGGATGTAGGGAAGGAAGGATAACTGGAGATCGAACCTGAGCCTAAGCTGCGCACAGGTTCAGAGAGTCTTAAGGACGGGTATTTTGAGGTCGGAACCGTGTGACAGAGTATGACTTACGACTTGTTGACATTTAACTGCAGGAAATTTCCACTCATCCAGCTCTTGATGTCCGACAGATAAGCTGACAGAACATCAGGGGACTGGGGGTCGCAGCTGGAGGTGGAAAAGTAGAGTTGAGTGTCATCCGCATACATGTGGAAGTTAACCCCGTGTCTGCGGATAGCATTACTGAGAGGGAGTGTATAGACGAGGAAGACGAGGCCAAGGATGGATCCTTGAGGTTGCGTGGGATTGAGGGTAGGTTTTTTAAAGAGGAGGGTGATGACCGCGGTTTTGAGGGGTAGTGGGACTGATCCTGAGGAGAGAGACTGATTAATAGTATCTGTCACCCGCAGTTGCCCCCCCTATTCCTTGATACCCTCACCTAACAAATATTACCCTTACCTAACAAAGATTCAGTTTTGTTCCCAATCATTTTGGTTAGATAGAACAGTGTGTGCTCGTGTCCGTGTTCACCAGCCATATTTTCTTTTGTGTAGACAGTTCTCAGCCGCCCTGGAAGACCTACATGAAGCCGTGAAGCTTTGCCCCAATAACCGTGAGATCCAGCGCTTGTTGCTGCGTGTGGAGGAGGAGTTCAGGCAGGTGCAGTTTGGCCAACAGCAGCCGCCGAGCCAGCAGGAAGACGTCAACTCCATACACGAGCTGTACGATGAGGAATATCTGGAGCAAGAATTGGACAGTGTCTCTGTCGGCCTCCACACAGATCCAAGACCCAGCCAGGGGCTGCCAGTAATACAGAGCCCACCTCCTTCCCCTGCACACCGCGAGCCCACCTACAGATCCAGCTCGCCTCTCAGCTCTCACCAAGTGTTTGACTACAGACAGAGCCCAACCATCGCCTCCCCTACCCGGCAGGGCTACCAGCCTACATCTCCATCACTCTCTCCTACTCACCAGAATTCACATTACCGTCCGAGTCCGCCACCCACGTCCCCCGCTCACCAGGGACCTTCATATCGCTTTAGCCCACCTCCAGTGGGTGGGCAAGGCAAAGAGTATCAGTCTAGTCCACCCCCGTCCCCTCTGCGTCGAGCCCCACAGTACCGGGCCAGTCCTCCTGCAGACAGTATGAGTGTGTACAGGCCTCAGTCTGCGTCCCCAGTCCGATATCAGCAAGAACCCACCATGGGCCAACTTCCTGGGAGGCCAAAGTCTCCTCTATCCAAAATGGCCCAAAGGCCCTATCAATTGTCTCAACCTCCTTCAGCTTTGCCCCAACAGGGGCTGAGGTTACAACCGGCCAAGGCCCAGATTGTCCGCACCAACCAACCCAGTTCTGCAGTGCATTCCAGTGCTGTGATACTAAGCGGAGCGTACAGTCAGGGCCCGCACTCCATGAGTGGCAAACACCAGTCTTCAGCTGACATGGCTCCTACACAAAGCCGCCTGGTTTATCAGCCGGTGATGGGTGGAGTGGTGGCCGACAGCAGACCCGTCCAGCATGTGCAAGCCAGTCTGAGCGCCGGCGCGATCAGCAATGTTTGCCAACATCCAGGAACCGTGATGACGAAAGAAGATCTCAGCCAAAGACCCTCTTCTGCCTACCGAGGGGGGGTGAGGTACGGGCAAACTCCTCAGATTGGCCGCAGTCAGTCTGCTTCCTACTATCCAGTCTCCCACTCCAAGCATGACCTAGAGAGGGCCTCAGTGCCGTCCAGCCAGCTGGTGTCTCCCGACGTATCTCACATGATCAGGAGGCCCATCACCGTGAACCCCCCAGAGATTAAACCTCACCCGCCAACACCTCGCCCACTGCTGCACTCACAGAGCACCGGCCTCCGCTTCTCCCCCTCCAGCAACAGCCTTTCCTCCAGCTCCAACGCCGTGTCTTCATTCCGACCATCCTCGTCCATTCAGCAGATGGAGATTCCACTCAAACCAGGTTACGACAGTCGATCCTGTGACGAGCAGTCCCCCATCTCTCCAACGCAAGGCTACCCCGGGGACTCCGCCCGCTCCAGGACAACACCCTTCATGGGCATCATAGACAAGACAGCACGGACACAGCAGTACACTCATCTCCACCAGCAGAGCCGAACCTGGGCTGTGTCCTCTGTCGACACTGTTATCACCAGCCCTACCTCCTCTGGAGGCATGTCCCCCCAGTCCGGCTCCTACAGCCCTCCCCCAGTCAGTAACATTGCTTTCTACAACAAGACTAACAATGCCCAGAACGGCCACCTGACGGAGGACGACCTGTGTGTGTCCCACGGCAAGCTGGCCAACGGATCCCGGGCCGAGATTTTGGAGAGGGTCAGTCAGGCCCCCTCGTACCCAGATGTAAAGGTGGCCAGAACACTCCCTGTGGCGCAGGCATACCAGGACAGCATATACCGGCAGCTCTCCAGAGACTCGCGACAAGGGCCAACTTCACCTTTGAAACCAAAGAGACCATTCGTAGAGTCGAATGTATGAAAGGGAATCCTTTAGAGTCTAAACCCCATGTTGTCAGCAGGTTTCAATCAGATTTCTTGCACACGTAGTCACGCAGTGAGTGCACTGTACAGTAAAGCTACTTCCACTCGGAGATGAAACAAAATGGAAACAGCGATTGGTTTTATTCCATTCCGTTGCTTATTTGTTTGAGCAGTTTCTAACTTTTCTAACTATTGTCCAAAAGCGTAATATCAGAAGGGAGAAAAATGTGAAATGAATATAAGCATTAATGTTTAAATAATGAATGTTAGACTCGAGCATTATCAGGTCATTTTCCATCTTTTACTTTAAACTGATAGATTAAAGTGTATTTACAGGCTTTCTTACAGTCTTATTCGGGCTTTCTTTTTAAAAAGCCCCTTTGACACAAGCTGTAATATGACGCAGGTAACCTATTTGATTTTCAGAGATTGCTGTGATTTTTAGCAGCTCGTATTGGGTTTCCTATGATTTATCAGTGTGGGTGCAACGCACAGAACTGTTCTGAAACCTCAGACACAATCACTTCAGACGCACCCGTCAGCATTAATCTCAAGGTCACTTCTCTGCACTAACATGGGGTCGGGACTCTTAGTTTTTCAGTCAAGAGACAAACCGTGAGTTTGTTTTAGTTGCAAAGACGCTCTGTTTTAATACTGTAAATGTTATATGAAGTCTGGCTGGCTCTCTACAGATCTGTAGTTAAGATTATTTAAGATTATTTTAAGTTAAATCAACTGTTATCAGGTAAAGTTTTTTTTAAGATTTTATTTTCTTTTAAACCAGGTGCAACTATTGTTGAATTGATGTGAAACACAGGGGACATTCCCAAAGCTCAGTCATATCATAATATTTTCCATGGTGATACCAACCACGTTAGTCCACCGCCTTTCATTTGCTGCGATGTACTGTAATAGAGCACTTGAAAAGAAAATCCCTTCAACATATTAACTCTTTGAGGACTGAAACACCTCTGCTTCAGAAAGAACATCTTTCCTCTTTCAACTGCAAGGGGGGAAATGTTCCTTTTAAACTTTCCAATGGTTCAAATTCAAGAAAGTTGCCGATTGTTTACTTCATGGAAGAAGAACGAGAAAGGAAAATTGGAAACTTATTAATCTTCCTTCCGCGTTGAAACACAGCTGGAGTCCTCAAAGGGTTAATGTAATAAACACATGGCTTGTTCAGAATAATTTGTTTGCTGTTAATCGTGTTGCTTTAAGGCGTTGCTGAACAACAGGTTGAACTGAAGGAACAAATTCTGACCTGGGTGCTGCCTGTGTACTGTCCCTCACCTTTGGTGTGTGGGTGGCACAGCAATTTACATTGAAAGATTTGGGGTGAATCTTCGAGATTCCACATGCACTGAGTGACTGGGCTGGGGCGGGGGGGGTGGGGTGGGGGGGGGGGCATGGGGACGCACCCTGCACATAATGTTCATTGCTGTGGCCCTTATTGGGGAAAGGCTACCACAATCTCCGAGGCTCACAGGAAACAAAAGCAGCGTAGCTCTGGGCAGGAGCTCGCAGCACATTTCCTTGGATCAGTTTGGGCTGTTCCATCTCCAGACCAATCTTCGCGAATTTGTTTTCTACCTCAATTGCCTTTAATTTTTGTTCCCTTTCCCCTCTCACCCATTCACAGAGTTCCTGGTGCCGAGCGAGTTGGGTGTGAACCTTGCGCTAGAGTCAGCTTGTGGGAGATTCTTGACCCCCCCCCCCCCCCACCCGGTGTCTGGTCAGCGTTGGGAACTGATTGTGTTTGGTTGGGGAGGGGGCGTTCTTTGGCAAGCATACTTCACACGTCCAATCATATCTCCGTAATCTTTTTCTCCGTCTCACATCCTGTCGTTGTTTTATTTCATTCTTTTCGGCCTCGCTCTCTTGTTTTCCTGCTTCCTTCTCTGAGCTGCTCACCTGCTGCATTACCAGATTGAGATCACAGTTTGCTTTTAATGCTCTATAGTGGCAGTCGCTGTTGGGTTCACTTGAGTTGGCTTCTTCACTGCTATATAGTTCTGTTCATATTTGGAAATGTCCCCTCATGCAATTCAGATAAACGGTGTGTATGGAATCACCTTAGCGTTTAAACACACACAACCTAAATCTCCCCCCCACTCCCCACATTCAACCAAAATGTGCAGTTTCTACACAGATTGTTTCACAAAGGTTCTCGTTCTGAAACTTTGCCATCTGTATTTCCTGTAAATGAGTGCACTTTATTGTTCGGATTTGTTAACCTTTATATATTGGCTAGATAATCGTGATTAGTGTTCTCGTTAGGAGATAAGAATCGTCGTCGTCCTTGATGTATTTTATATAAAAAAAACTAAATTCTTAGCACAAAAAAGTTTGCTGTAAATAAAACTGCCACAAAAATTTGGTAGAATTTTACCAATGCTCGCAAGCAGCACCCCAGCATCCCTCAAACGTGCCCTGAGAAACAGCGCACAACTTTACTCCCCCACTGTATAGTGTACATAAAATCAAACTAGTACGTATTATCTGAAAATAATGCACACCGGAAGCCATCTTTTGCCAGGTGCCTATAATGCTTCTATAGTGCAGTATTTAATTGTGGAAACCCACCATTATATTCGTGAGCGGAGAGCATGCAATGTAGTCTGGTTACATACTCTATTTAGATTAGGACTAAATATCCGGGATGAGCAATGGATTTGCACAACTACTCCCTCCCTCGATAGGTCCCTAAATAAATCCTTATTGTGTGAGCTCCAGTCAGCAGTAATGTAATAGTGAAGGCTTGGTGGCCGAGACGAGACCCTCCCCTCAGCTCCCAGCAGCTGGATGCTTCAGACGGTTGGTCACTGGAGCATGAGAAACTCGGCTAAAAGTGATGCCCAGAGTGTAAAATAAACAGCACAGGTTAGAAAGGCTTCTGAACTAACGTAGTGTGGCCTTGTGACAATGCCGAATCGCGATGCGCGTTGGCTTGTAGGATAGCTACAGCAATGGCTTCTTGCCACACGGCAAAAGTTTGATTCCAATGGATATATCGAATGGCCTCTATCCCAATCAATTCCATTTGCTTAACGTCCGGGAGCTCGCAATCATCGAATTGCGGCTGGGCCCTCTCGTCTTGCTGCTCTAGCATAACTGGAAGTATTGTTCTGGTTTTACTTTCTTCGTCCCATTTAGCATCTTATATTCCTCTTTAAGGTCCCCTGTGAGACATCTCTTTTCAAGGGTAAAGAGCTTGAGCATATCGACTCAGATCTTCAAACAGCTCATCCCTCTCACCCTGGGGATTAGTTCTCGTGACCAAAACTGGACACAGATGGGTAGGTTCTACATTGGTTACCACTGGCCAGAGCAGTGACAGTACATTCAGCAACACTATCTGCGTTAAATATCTTTAAATCCTTTTTTAATGGACTAAAAGGAGCATTAAGGTGAGCAGCTTTATAGTCGGTATGTAAAAATGTAGGTAGGTAACGTAGAAATTCAGCGATTTAATGCACTTTTGTTTAAAGAAAGGAAATAAATCGTAGTAACAGGAGCATAAAACCTCAGACCAAAATAAACCGGCAGAGGGAAAGCTACCTTTAAAAGGTGCCCGACTCCCGGGTAACTTGTAATTTGCTGTGCAGTAGACCCAGTTGCTTTAAAAGGTGCCATTTATTTTGACGTTAGTATTTTGAGTACTGTAATCACATATCTAATTGCCCATCTCTTTAAAGTGATCGCATAGTCCCAATAACTTAAGAGTCCAGTATCTGAGCTGACTTACTTTCCTACATTAACTGTAGAGCTAAGGGAGGACATTAGTATATTGGGCTCGGTGCAATACACAGTCGTAGCTTGTGGGTATTATCCCGTATTCATCTTAGTGTTCCCAGAAAATAATCAAATCACTTTGTCACCAGAAAAGCAAGTCCTGTGAGTTCCCAGAAGTTTGTTCGTCAAAATCTACATTTGTACATTGATTGCTAATTTGTTTTAAATCGGATTTTAGGCACAGTTAAAACTCTAAAACACCCCAGGCAGACAGCAAACTTGGCACAAACACAACCAGGTCATTTTACAATTTACCGCAAACGGTGTAATATGACCAACCAGACCTTTATATTTTTTTTCTTTTAACGGTGCAGTGTTCCCATGTTTTTTTGTTTTTTTTTATGTTTTGGACTAACTATGGTAAGGACCATTGATTGCATCTGTGAGTTGGGTCGGATGCAGCAGGGATTCATATAGGTAACTGTCCTCCCCTTGAAATTAAATGTTCTAAACCAATTTGAATGTAATTATGAGAGCTAATGTACCATGCAGCAGTTGTATGTGCGTGTGGATTCCTTTCTACTTACCGTACTGTTAATTAAACACCAACCACAAAGGCATCTACACACCCAGCCACCGTTGGGAAGCTGTGTGTAAAAAAAAAACTTTTTTTTTCTCTCTCCCTATCTCTCTCTCTCGTGCGCTCTTTCTCTTTGATGTAAAGGATTTTTTCTCTGTACAGTATAATATAAGCTGCATGTTTTGTTCCAGTTACTGATAATAATTGCAAAAGGTTGTGATATTTGTATCCAGGCTACCTGGACTGTGGCCCGTTCCATGTTATTATGGATGAAGGTTTCTCTTTACTGTATTGCTTGCTGAGCAGAGTAATAATTGTCTGTACATGTGGGCTGTGAGTTAGACGTGCAAAAACAAAAACAAAAAAAGAAAACGAATGCTTCTGTTTTTATTTTTCATTTACAGATTGTGATCAGTCCAATTTACTGTACGAGGAATACTGTACCTATTTATAAATGGTGAACACTTCAAATTAAATGAAACACAACTGCCCACTTTTCATTAATGGTTAATTTATTCAATTAGGACCCAAAAATAAAGATTCACACGCCAGCAGATACCCCGGGGGGAAAGGAGCTGCTTGAGGCGTATTGTGTGTGAGCGAACAGGAGAACCGGAGGTCATGGCCTGCGGTTGAAGAGAGGTAAATTCAAAATAAATCTAAGGAACTACTTCAGTGAGCGATTGGTAAGCGTGTGGAATAGGTTTCCTCGGGACACTGGACGCAGAAAGTGTTTTTTGTTTCAGGAACAAATTGGATAGATTTCTATGGGAGAATAATATCTGGGGATACAGTATATAGTTTGGGACACGACATGTCAAAGCGACTGCCAGGATGGTAGAAGATGAATTAGGTGGACCTTGGTCTTCGGTCGCCAGCAAATTCTTAAGTTCGCCCACCGTTAAGTGACTGGGTTTCCATCTGTTGGCTGAATGGCCAAGAGCCCTGGAGAGGCAATACATCGCCACTGGTAAATAGAAGGCAGACAGACTTTCAGAGCTGCTCGCCCTTGAGGTGCCCAGAGCATCTTCTTCAGGCTTGAGTGGCTCCATCGAGCCTTTCTTACAGCCTCCGGGTGAAGCTATTGGCGCTCATTACCATGCAAACGTGCTGAAGAGACGTTAACAAGTTCTGCAACTGCCGCTAAGTAATAACTCCACAAGCTGCTTAAACTGCGGGCAGACCAGGTGTCCAGACAAACCAACAACATCTAAGAATGTGATTTTCGTAAACCTCTGTTTGAGCCCTAAAGAATGGGGTGTGAATAATAATAATAATAATAATCCTTGCATTTGATATAGCGCTTTCCACGACTTCTAGACATCTCAAAATACAGAATATACTGTAAAGTGAATTGACTGTATATTTGTGGGCGAACGCGGCAGCCAATTGCGCACAGCAATGTCCCACAAACAGTCGTGGATTGAAAATGACTAATTTATTATTGTTTTTTGGAAGGATTATTATTAACCCCAATCTACCACCTTCTCGCCTGGAAAACGAAAAAAAATGCAGACGATATCAAGGGCTGTGGAAGAAAAGGAGAATGAATGAACGGGACGACCTGCCGTGGTCTAATAAGCAGGTGGAATAGGTTTGAATGGCCTCTCCTGTCCCTACTAATGCAATGCCCCTACTAATCCCTCCAAAACCCACAACAATAATAAATTGGTCATTTTCAATCCATGACTGTTTGTGGGACATTACTGTGCGCAATCGGCTGCCGCGTTCGCCCACAAATATACAGTCAGTTCACTTTACAGTGTGTTCTGTGAAGCGCTTTGGGACGTCCTCAAATGCGAGGATTATTATTATTATTATTAAGTGTCAAAATGAGTTCTGTCCTTTGTTTTGGTGGGAAAAAAAAGATTGTGAATTTGACGAGACTTAATGCTGTCGGCAGAATTCTGGGTCCTGGACCGCCATGAGCGAAGAGGTCAGTCGGTATTCACGTGTCTGACATTTTGTCAGAGGAACTTGTGGGTGGGTGCGTACGTCTGTGAGGCTTTGAGCTGTGCCCACAGTGCCAGACCTTTGCCATTCTCACTCAAGCAGGACGTTTCGTGAAGAAATATCGATCTTTAATTAATAAGAAGAAGAAAGTCTTACATCAAACTCTTAACGGCATTTTTATGCATTGTACCTTTCTCACCTTTACTGGGCTCTCAATTTTCACTCCTTTGGTGAGAAAACCCACACCAAAAATGCGAGCGTTGCAAAGTAAGTGCTGTGTGTGTTGGTTACGATGTGACGGCTGCACTTTAATCTGCATTAGATCAGCCAGGGTTTCAATAGATTTGATTTCGGTTCAGGGCAGACAGTGCTGAGACAGTCTCCTCGGTCACAAGGCTGGTAATCCCCAACTGAAATTACTGCTCAACACAGGGAGGCAAGTTTAGCACAAACCTACCATCCAATCTCCGCACACTCTTCAGGACCTCTCCTGAAGCCTCATGACAAGTTGGTGAGTAATGGACTGCTCGTTGCTGTATCAAACCCACCTTCGAGTTGCAACAACAAATGCCTCAACACTGCGGCTTGTCATGTAGGTACGTGGATGGTTTAGATGGTGTGCGAGACCAGCGCAGACACGATGGACTGAATGGCCACCTGTGCTGTACACACTAACGTGGCTTGTGGATGTCGCGCACCTACTCTTGTGTCTGGCTGCTTCTCGGGTCCGTGCACTTGTGTCTAATTCATGCTTTAAAACACGGAACAGGACGCGTCACTGTTACTCAACTCTTCGGAGAGCTGCTTTGTGACGGTCTGCAGTGAACAAGGCAGGTCTGTGCCCAACTCCCTGCACCAAGACTCCCAGATCTCAGACCAAATGAGCTACTTTCGGCATCTGTGTAAGGCAGTGAGGCAAGCTGCAACTGGAGCCATCCCCCGATCACTTGGCTTCCTAATGCCTGGGCACTGACAGAGGCTTGGGAACAGCCCGGCTGCTTACTCCCTCACACAGGTGGGACCCGGTGCGTAGACGGGAATATACTTGGGGGGTGGGGGAGGATGTTCTTTAAGAAAAAAGCAATATTTATTAAAATGAAAGCTGCAGAGTACTATCACTGAGCTCCAGCCGTGACCGTACAGCTGTAAATTGATACGAGTTTAAATAGGTACACAAAGTTTGCCTGCTTGTCACTGCGTTTACTTCACACACAAAAAAAAGTCTTTCAGGGATTAACATGGAGTATTCGCAGTGGCCTGAAACCCAATCCGGGACTGAAAAGAGGATAAACCGTCTCTGTGAAGGTATCTTTGAACATGTACATGAAGGACATGTTGTCCGCATTATAAAAACACACCTGCCCACTCTCGTAGTCCAGGTAGATTCCGATTTTCTTGGGCTTGACGCCTGTGAATATGAGCACCCGGGGCTGCGAATGGGCCAGGTAGTACATGCTGGTTTTCTCCAGCGCCCACAAGCCGTTTTGGGGCGTCAGTTGAATTGCCGTCTTGCGGTTCACCGACTTCTTGGCGATGCCCAGCACCCAGTCGGGCTTGTTCCCCACGGACACCTCCCAGTAGTGGATGCCGGAGGAGAAGCCGCACTTGGCCAGGACAAAGGGGTGGACGAGGAAGCGTGAGGGGCCGGTGGGAGCCCCATTGGGGCCGGTGCCCGATACAACGCTGCTTTGGTTGTCGAACAGGATTAGGCTGTGATGGGCCGTCTCGGGATCCAGGATGACGGACTCTGGAACGGGGAAGGCAAGCGGAACAGAGTGAACGGGAAACGAGAGCTGTTACTTGCACTTACATCGCGGCCGTCACACAGGATACTGTCCCCGAGTGTTCCTCAGCCATCGCCCACCTCCAGCTCTCGGGCCAAAATGTGCGACCGTTAGCTTCTCTGTAATGCGGTGAGGCAAGCCGCAATTGGAGCCACCCCCCCTGGCTATTTACGTTGCTTCCCAATGCCTGGTCGCTTTAGAGTGAGTGAGTGAGTGAGTGTGTGCGAGTGTGTGTGTGTGGCCCAAAATCATCCAAACGGCAGAGCTGGTGTGAGTAAAGCGATAGAGCAACCAACCCCTGCGGTTCCCTTCCCACCACTTGGATCAGGGCAATGTCACAGCTCAGAAAGAGGTCTCTGACCTATTATCGTGTCCGGAAGCCGATCAATCCAATCCCATGGGGCCCAGGGCTCAGTCCCTCCCAAAACAAAACCAGGGCAGCAGTGAATAGTGAGCCACACAGCGCCTGGCAATGTCAGGGAACTGGGAGCCTCAGGGACACAACTTGGGAATTGCCATCGGAATGTGAGGTGCTCTGTTCCTTTTCTCACCGTAGTTGACGCCCATTTCAAACAGGAGCCTTTTCCAGCAGTTGTACATCAGGAGGAATTTGTACTTTGCGTTGTTCACCTTCACCGACACGTCTTTGGGATCGGAGATGCTCATCTTAACCCTGGGCAGGGGGACAAGAGCAAGAAATTAATCGTTGCGCATGACAGATTCCGGGGTGGGGGGGGAGGAGGAAGGAAAGCCCAAACCCATGACTTCAGCATTTACCTTTCTTGTGTGCTTTTCAGCTTCTGAAACAGAGAGGGAGGGGGAAAAAAAATCAATGTTAATTACTGCAAAAGGAGAAATTGACTGCACCACCCATCAACTTCCAGCGCACCCAGGTCAGAAACAGCACTGACTAGTTAACGCTCCCTCTATGCTGTCCGCCCACAATCCCAGGTCAGGTTCAGAGACACAGTAAAGCTCCCTCCGCGCTATTCTGTCCATGCTACCAGGTCAGCGGCAGCACAGAGGGCTAGAGACGGAGTTAAAGCCCTCTCTGACTACCTCCCTGGTTGCGTCTGAGCTCCGTGTACTTTACCATAAGAAACAGGATAGGATCTTCCTGAAGGATGTCCTCTGCCACAGTCTGTATGGTTTCCGCCAGCGACGTGGACTCGAAGGCGAGCTGTAAAATCACTTCCTGTAGAACCGTGAAGCGCTGCCAGGCATCAGTCTGCAGCTCCTGCATAATCCTCTCCTCCTCCGCACGCAGGAACTCGTGCAGGTGCACGAAGCTCTTGCCAATGTGCTGCTCCGTGGCTGATACCTCGTCCTGTGGCACCAATGGGAGAAGCAGAGGCTCAGAAGGAGCAGAGAGGGCCAGAGACGACATACGGGTGTTAGTTTATCAAAGGGTCTCAGCCTGGCTCAGTCTCGGCCTCTCTGCCTGGTCAGTGGTTGTGACGCACTCTGTGAGATGCTTTGAGGTTCCAGGCACAGCATCAAACCCGGGGATTATTAGCATGTGGAGAGCTGGGGGAGGGTGTTAATTGGTGGATCGCTTTCTCTCCCAAATTTTTTTTTTTTTTTTTAATTGGTCACTCAATCCACGACTGCTTGTGGAAAACTGCGGCGCGCAAACGACTGCCAGGTTCCACCCACAAAATCCAGTCAATCTACTCGACGGTATGTTCTGCGAAACGCTTTGAGACGTCTCAACGAGGCGAGGATTGTTATTGCGGGTGTAGGTGGGAGCGCCGTCGTTTTCACTCCCACAAGATAAACTCGGGAGCTCAGCGACATCCGACTGATCACAGAGACAACACACACAATCCTACGGCAGAGGCTCCCAGCCCCCCCCACTCCCCCCCCACCCACCCCCCCCACCCACCCACCCCCAACCATCTTCCCATCGACACGGTCTGTGAAGGATGACAGCAACGAGCCTGCGAGCGTTCCTCTGTGTGGCTTGGCTCGGAGTTGGTCTCTGCCGCTTGGCTTCCCCCCTCCCCCTTACCATGAGATGCGTCAGGTTCTCCTCGTAGTTGGACTTTAGGATCTGGTGATTCTCGTTCTTTGCTTTCAGTGAATCGAGGGTTGCGGCCAGTTCGTTCTGCAAGACAGAACGGCCCTCTTAGCACCTTACCTTGTTCTGCTCATGCGCTCGTGTGTTACAGGCCGTGTGCTGCACGACGTGCGCTGACACGTTAAGCGACGGGCATTGACGTGGGGTGGGACACGGGGCTCGTGTGTTAATATGTCCGTGTCGCCTCTGGCGCCCTGGCCAGGTCACCGGTTACCTTGTAGTATCGAGCAGCTTCGTTGACGGGCAATACCCGGTGGTTCTTGTGCTTGTTGGAGTCGCGACAGATGAGGCAGATCAGTTCCTGGTCATCCTCGCAGAAGAGCTTCAGCTTCTCCTTGTGGTGAGGGCACACGTCGTAGTCCTTGGAGTACGAGCCCAGCGACGAGGCGTCCGGGCTCAGCGACCAGAGGAGGACGATGACGAAGATGAGGACCACCAGCAGCAGGAACCCGAAGTTGCTGTCGGACGAGGTCTCGTACTCCTCGCCGCACGGCTGCTTTTTGGAGTGTAGGATCTCCACCACGCAAGCCAACGTGCGGTTAGTTCTCAAGGTGCCCGAGGAGTATTGCCGGCACAAGGGGCAGATGGAGGTCTCCTCTCTGTCCCAATACTCGGTTATACAGGGTCTGCAGAAGTCGTGCTCGCACTCGGTGGTGACGGGGTCCTTGAACATGTCCAGACAGATCGAGCACGAGAACTGGCTCCTGATGTCGTCCTCCACAGACATGGTGTTGGGTCGGGTTGGCTTAGGTTGGGCTGCCCGACTCGGCCCAGCCTGGCCTGTGCACGCACAGCTCAGTGTGCCCCCGTGTCCTGCCCTTCCTGCTTCCGATTTGCCAGCTCCAGCATATGGAAAATCCCCACGACCACCTGTTTGGCGGCAAAAGAAAAGCGAGACGGTCTGATTTCAACCCCTAAGTTCCCACTTCGCTGTCTCAAGCCTGTCTCGGTTAGTAGCAACCCCCCCCTATCGCCCTCCCCCCCCCATCGCCCTCCCCCCCCGCAATAGCCCTCCCCCACCCCTCGATCTCCCACCCCCACCCCTCGATCTCCCACCCCCACTCCGCCAGCCCCCACCAAACACACTCACTCCTCTTTCAAAACAAACAGAAGTTTGGAGGGGAATGAGGATAATAATAGTAATAATAATTCTTGCATTTGATATTGTACCTTATTATTACGTCGCTCAAACACCTCAAGTGAATTGACTGTTTTTTGTGGGCGAAACGCGGCAGCCAATTGCTGCCCCACAAACAGTCGTGGAACTGAGCGACAGTGGTTTTTTTCTTTAGGGGTTATTATCCTGTGTGTTGTTATCCTGTGCTATCGTTTACGGTGTATCCTGTGAAGCGCTTTGAGACGCCTCAACGGCGTAATAAGGCACTGTATCAAATGCCAGGATTGTTATTACAGTGCGTTTCGAGTGTTTTCCGGGCGTGCACTTCGAACAGTGGCCAGCAGAGAGCGATCAGGAGTCCTGGGTTCACTCCCCCCCCCCTCCTCCGCCCCCTCTGCTCCCACTGAGGATAACTAATGAATTGCAATTTGTACAACGTTTTAGGATAACTGGTCTCGGATTCTGATAATAATAATAATAATAATAATAATAATAATAATAATCCTCGTATGTGAGACAGTGTCCTGGTAACGTCTCGAAGTGTTCGCTGGATTTACTGAGTCAAATGAGATAGATTTCTGTTCGGAGATGGCATCTCGGGTCACAGTCGATAGTTTGGGGCATCTCAATGTGCCGGGCGACTGACCGCCAGGATAGTTAGTGTGAGGTGAACGGGATGAACCTGGTCTGGCAAATCCGGATGTTCATTCGCCAGCGAAGCTGTCAGCCCCGTGGCTGGACCCGGACGGACCGCGACGTCTTGCTCAGCCTCGGGCCACTCATCAGAGAACCACTAACCTCAGCCTCTCAGAGAAGATGGCGTCAGACTGGAGTGGGGGTGGGGGACAGAGACGGGATCAGGATGTGGCCCGAAACCAGCGATCTCCCTCCGCGCAGCGATACCCGGAGGCCCCGGCGAGAGCGTCTCACCTGAACGGCAGTTGACGGACCGAAGGTGGACAAGGCTTCGCTTAAACCGTCCCCCGGAAATAACCAAACTCGATTGGTCCAGGTCTGCGCCCTCCGAGAATGTTTTGGTGAAAGGGACCAATGACAATGTGGCGAACAGAGTGATGTCACCAAACCCACATCTCGTCTCAGGTGTTGACGTTCGAGATCTGGGTCCTGGAGCTGCCCCTCACCCCCCCCTCCCCTCCCCCCCCACCCCCACCCCCCGGGCATCACTGCCCACACCCATTGTCATGTCATATTGGATCTGATCACTGCTTGTGTCTCCGTACCTGTGTCTGTCTGTCTGTCTGTGGGTGTGGATGTGTCTGTCTGGTTGTACATGTGTGTCTCTGTACCTGTGTCTGTCTGTGGGTGTGGATGTGTCTGTCTGAGTGTACGTGTGTGTCTCTGTACCTGTGTCTGTCTGTCTGTCTGTCTGTGGGTGTGGATGTGTCTGTCTGAGTGTACGTGTGTGTCTCCGTACCTGTGTCTGTCTGTGGGTGTGGATGTGTCTGTCTGGGTGTACGTGTGTGTCTCTGTACCTGTGTCTGTCTGTGGGTGTGGATGTGTCTGTCTGGGTGTACGTGTGTGTCTCTGTACCTGTGTAACTATGGGTGTGTATGTGTCTGTCTGTGAGTATGTGTGTGTCTCTGTACCTGTGTATGTGTGTCTTTGTATCTGTGTATATGTGCGTATTTATATATTTGTGTGTGTAGATACATGTGCAGACAAGTGATACAGATATACACGTGTGTGCGCGTGTGTGTGTGTGTGTGTGCACGTGTGTGTGTGCAAGATTTCGCATTCAGAATTGCAAAGTGTAGTTTGCTATACAATACAAAATTACATTTGTAAAGTGCCTTTCACAACGGAGGACGTCCCAAGGCGCTGAACAGTCAGGGATTAGGGATTGGGTGGGGGGTAGTGGTGAGTATAATTACTCAGTGGGGCCCACACCCACAACAGCTCTCGGTTTTGTGCTCAGAAAACACTTGTCGAACTGAAGAGTTGGAATAAATCTGCCCCCGGGTTAGTTACACTGAACAGAAATCCATTTTTAATCTTCGTTTTCAAAAATATGCCAAAACATATAAAATATGGTGCAACGACGACACGAAAGGCAAGTACGCACACATCAACCACAGCGTTACAAGTCACCCGCGGATGTACAGCAGCTGAAAAAGACCAATGCTGTTCATTGTTGGAACTAACAAATAGTACAAAATACACAATCAAATCAATTTTACAGTGTATTCTGTGAAGCGCTTTGAGACGTCTCAACGACGGGATAAGACGCTATATCAAATGCAAGGATTATTATTATTATTATTATTACCGCACAGCATTCCATCTCTTCCCCCCTCACTCACTTCGAGCACAAAAAAAAACAATCCACCAAAAATAAATAATAATAATTTGGTCACTCAAGCCACGACTGTCTGTGGGGACGCTGCCGTGTGCGATCGGCTGCCGCGTTTCGCCCACAAAATACACAGTCAATTCACTTTACAGTATATCCTGTGAAGCGTTTTGAAGACTTGATGAGGCGCTGTATCAAATGTCATGAATCAAGCAATGAGTTTGCACAGTCGAGCCTCGATGTAATGAAGGGGTGTATGAGGGGTTTCGGCGGTCTGCGGTGTGAGACAGTGGCGGAGACCGGGCAGACGTGGCGGAGGTGGGGGAAGACGCGGATGTGGGGCAGAGAGGACAGCTGAGGGTCAAAACAAGACCCCAAGGTTCCGGACTGGCTTCGCGAGGCGGAGTGACCAACCGTGGATGGTGATGCTGTCGGCGCCTGAGGCGAGGAGGCGTTCCTTGTATTCCACCGAACTCCCCGTTGCATCGGGTCGTTTCTCGGTCCGGTTTGGGTCTGAGCTGGGAAGTCTGTCCGGCCACGGCTGAGAGGGTTGTTCCCCGCGAAGGGGGAAACAAAAGTTTGTCGCTTGGTCTCGCACAGACAGTTTGGGGAGTTGCGGCTCACTTGGTCGGCCACTGGAGGGCTCCCGTACACCTCTCGAGCTGAGGCTGAGACCGGAATCTCCGACCGGCTCTCGCCCAGTGGTTTGGCTGAATGTTTTACCCCAGAGGCCGTTTCTGAGACGCTGCACTTAAAACACTAATCAATCGAGACAAAAGTTGCGTCCGGGGTTAACTGGAAACTAATTGGATCGAGTGTGCCACTGCCACGCGACGCGCTTTAACCCAGTTTCCCTCCACAGCCGGGAAACCTTAACCGTTTCAGCTCCGTTACTCTTGCGGGGCTCTGTGGTTGAGTTGTCCCTGTGTGGACAAGCGGAGAGGGTGGGGGTGGGGGTGGCGGTGGGGGAGGAGTTGTGTGCGCGCGACTGGGGGCTCCCGTCAGCAAGTGTGCGGAGAGCTTTGAGACGATCTCCAGACGTGAAAGGCGTTATATATAAATGTACACATCTCAACGCTTCACAGTGACGGGGGGGGGTCTGTGACTGGGATGGGTTTAATCGCTCCTGTGATGTTCTCCCAATAACAGCCCGGCCTAACCTTATCAGTAACTTCAGATCCACGTCCGAGAAAAACACCCACAGGGCCTTTGAGCACAATTTGTCAAATGATTTACATTTCAGCTAATCAGAATAATATATTTCGCCCACAAAGTATACAGTCAATTCACTTTACAGTATATTCTGTGAAGCACTTGAGGACTTCTAGAGGCGCTGTATCAAATGTAAGGATTACTACTTGTCGTGAATTCGGGAATGTGAGCATGACTCTGAGTTGTGTTACTTGGGCTCATTTCCATGAGTGTCTTTGGAGACGTGTTAATCCACTGCCTGAAACACGCTCTCTGGTATTCCATTCCCCAAATCCTTCAAAGCCTTCCTAAAACTCCCACCTCTGCCCAGAGATCCTGCCTCCAGTCCGGATCACCAGGAAACCGCGACTTATTTCTGGTTTGATTGGACTTCCAGCAGTGGTCAGCCCGGCTCTGCCATCCGCTCACCAGAGATCAGAGCTGAGTTGTTTCTTCAGGGAGACGCCATATCAACTTGTTCGGTCTGGCCTGCTCCACGTCCCCCGCCCGGCCTGTCCCGCCCCACCCCACTATCGGTGGTCGGGCCTTCAGTCTCTCTGTCCCCAACCTTTGGAACTCGCCTCCTTCAAGGCCCGTCTCAAGATTCTCCTCTTCGACCGTGTCTTTGGCCACCCTCCTACCCCCACCCTTGCTGCCCTCCACCCCAACCTGATCCCAAACCCACCCCCCCAGCACAGGAGCAAATCCCTGACTGTCCAGTCCCTTGGGACGTCCTCTCGCTGTGAAAGGTGCTGCGTAACTGTAATTTTATGGTGGTGGTTGTTGTAGTTGTTGTGCCTGGGGCCGGGCTGTGTTTCAGCAGAGCTGTGGTAAACTTACTGAAGTCTTGTCATCTAACAGGTACAGGAGCAACAATGTCAAATTTGGATAAGGATCGGACTGACAGATGGTGAGCACTTTATCGCTTCTGGAGTTGGTGGAACGCGAGCAGTTTGTGTCATCTTTTTACCCAGACCCAGATGATCGCTCTCTCTCGCTCTCTCTCTCTCGCTGGCTGGCTGGCTCCGGTGCTAGACGAGGCTGGAACCGGTCTCCGGATTGTCGGCCCTGATGGGGGGGCTGTAGCTGGCCACCAGCGAGAGCTGGGTGCCCTCCTTGGAGCTCTCCGCGGGGGGCAGGCCATACCTGGCCTTGGCCGGCAGATACCACTGGACACAGCATTGCTGCCACCTGCAAGCCAGCTCGCCCTGTACCTGCACAGTGAGAGAGTGACACAGTGATGTTAACCTGTACCTACACAGCGACAACCCAGTGCGAGGGGAGAGAGAGAGACGGGGGGGGGCCTTACCTCTCCATTTAGGAAGCAATACAAGGTGGCCACAATGGAACCCTGAGAAGAAAAAACAAACCGCTGTGTGAGAAGCATTGAGCACCGAGAGAGAGAGACACCGGGAGAGAGACACCGGGAGAGAGACACAGTGAGAGAGAGACCGGGAGAGAGAGACCGGGAGAGAAGGCCTGTAAATGGAGAGAGTTTGGAGGTGGGCGAGAAGAGATGAACCACTTAATGGACCGCTGACTGGTCAATTAATAATCCCAGCCGGGCTGTCGGCTCCTGTTATTAACAGACCGAAACGTTAGAACATGGGAGTCAGCCAAGAGCCGGTGCTCGAGAAACTTACAAGGTGAGACACGCGAGCCTTGTCGCTCGTGATAATTAGTACAATTACGGTGATGAAACATGGCATCTTTATTCCACCACCCACCACCCACCCCCCCCGAAGGCTTTGTGCACACACGGAGTCCCTGTACTGTGGCGTCCACGCTCGCCTCACAAGCGAGAGGACTCAGGGGGCGAAACCTTAAGCAAGTCTCCTCACCCCACAATTATTGCCACGAGTCTGAGCTGATGGCGCTACACACCTGAAAGGAACCGAGTGTCAAGTCGAAGACCAGCTGCACGTAGCTGTTGAGGTGGTGGGGGACGAAGACAAAGACCATGTAGTTCACACCGAAGAGAGGGATGAGGAACAGCGTGGATCTGGCCAGCCTCCTGCGGGAGGAAAACGCACGCCGTGAGCTCGAGCGCAGGCGCAAGCGAGCGGGGTCCCCACTGTGAGCCGAGAGATATCCCGCCCCACGTCCATTGCGCAGGGGAAGTGCAAAGTTCAACTATAGCCAGAATAAGTGCTGTTGCGCCTCTGTCACGAGAGTTTCTCAAACGAGCGCTCTCCTCTCTCCCTGGAGGGTTGCATTCCTGGTTACCTAACCCTGGAGAGTATTATAGACGCAGGCTGGCGAGAGCCAAGGGTTGGAGCCAGAGTGTGCGTTGGGGTATAAAAACTGTTGGAGTCTAACCACCTGAGTACTCACAGGTACTGCCGGCATTCAGAGATGCGATTGTCCGATGAGTAGACTTTCTGGACCAGAATATGGACGATACAGATGAAGAGGAGGAAGTTCACCTGAAGGAAGAGACACGTGTGAGAGCAATGGCAACACGTTACATTTACACGGCACCCCTCAGGTCAGGAGGACAGTCCCAAGGACAGCTGAACTGGTCAGGGAATGTGGACCCGAGCTGGGGGTTGGGATCAGGAAGGGTGGAGGGCAGGGAGGGTGGGTGTCGGAGGGAGGGGTTAGGTGTGTGGGGGTCGGAGGGTGGGGGTAGGAGAGTGGCCGAAAGCGTGGTCAAATATGAGGGTCTTAAGATGTTCCTTGAAGGAGGCTCGGGGAACGAGGTGAGGGGACAGGGTTCCTAAGGGTGGAGGCAGAGAGGCCGGGCGGGGAGTGTACTGAGCGGAGGGAGCAGACAAAGATGGTAAACTGCGCAAAGTCCTGTTCCCCCCCCCACACCGCCTCCCCCCAACCCCCAGGAACCCCCGGAGACACGGACACTCACCAGGATTGTCAGCGAGATCGGAGCTTTTATGATCCAGAAGTATGGAGACCGAATGGAATCCCAGCACCTGGAATAGAGCAAAGAGTCACTGCCCGACCTCGTACTTGTCAGCCTGACGCTCTCTCTCCCCCTCTCCCTCTCTCCCCCTCTCCCTCTCTCCCCCTTCTATCTCTCTCTCTCTCTCTCTCTCGCCTCTGAGTCAGAAGGTTGTGGGTTCAAGCCCCCACGTCGGGACTCAGAATCACGTAGTCTAAGCCGATGCTCCATTGCAGCGCTGGGGAGTGTTGGGGGGGGGGGGGCGGTGCCTTGTCGGGGGTGCCATCCTTCAGGTCTTCTCGGCTATCTCTTTCTCTCCCGGTGTCCTGGCCAACAAATAAAATTGGTCACGCCGTCCACGGTTCTTTGTGGGGCTTTGCTGAGCGCAAACACATTCTGCCCACAAAAGTCAAGTCGATCCACTTCACATTGAAACGCTTTGGGACATCCTTCTGACGTGACAAGGCGCTATAGCCAGGCAAAGATTATAATTTATTATCATTATATTGTCCTCCCGCCTTCCCCTCCCGCCTCCCGTTTTCTCTTACCCCACATCATCGTAATGCAGCATCACCAGCGACCAGGTGAGTGTGATCAATGCCGGAGCCCCTACAGTGAGAGAGAAAGAGCGAGGGAGGGGGAGAGAGAGCGAGGGAGGGGGGGAGAGAGCGAGGGAGGGGGAGAGAGGGAGAGAGAGAATGACAACAGTCACAGGACAGCTGTGGGACGTATGATGCATGTGTCGGGCGAGTGAGAGGCCTGGGGCATGCGTGTATAATGCGTACGGGGGTGGGGGGGGGGTGACGTGCAGGTGGTTGAAGGGCAGGTGGTTGAGGGGCAGGTGGTTGAGGGGCAGCCACCCTTACCCCAGGCGATGGCAAAGTAGGAGCCAAAGTGCTCGTTGTCGATGAAGAAGGAGACGGCCATGAGCGTGTGCAGGTACACGGCCTCCGCCAGCAGCCAGAAGAAGTTTGCGGTGACGCTGAAGTGAAAGAAGGCGATGGCGACTTTACAGGACGTCTGTAACAGACAGAGCGTGGGTCAGACCAGCCCCCCTCCAGCCTCCCACCCACCACCCCCCCCCACCACCCACCCACCTCCCACCACCCCCCTCTGCACTCGACAGATACACGTAATAAGGTGCTGTATCAAATGCCAGGATTATTGTTATTATTATTGTGTTATTATTATTATGTGTGAAGCTGTCGCTCACCGTTGACGGGCTGCACTGATCGGTCTCGCTGCCGAACAGGATGGCGTCCTTCACGAAGACGGAGACCGCTTTCAGGATGAAGGAGAGGAAGAGGTTGATGTGGATGTAGTTCCTGGTGCAGTGGAGTTTCCTGGGGCCGAGGCCAGAGCAACAGACAGCGATCGTGACCAAGGCCGGGACCAGAGGCTCGTGTCCCACGCAGATAAACGCTCAGGACCGAGAACACACGGCAGCCGAGTGCGTCAGACGGTAAAGTTCCCTTCCACGGCAACGTCGGGGGAAGAGAAGGGACTTTCTCTCTCTTGGCCGACAATCCCCCCCACCCACCCACCACCCAAATAAATTGGCCGTTTGCTTATGGGACGTTTGCTGTCTGCATAATTGGCCCCTGTGTTTTGTCCGCAATACAGACCCTACGCTCCCCGCTTACAGCCCGGGTCAGCGCGGGATATGTCAGTGAGTTTTACCTGAAGAGGCAGAGGAGGAACAGGGCAACGGTGAGGAAGATCAGGGAAAGGCTGTGGCCCACTGTGTAGCTGAGCTTCACGCGCTCTAGGAACGCTTCCTGTCCGCACAACACAGAGCAATAACACGTCAGGACACAGGAAAACGGCCGCTGACTCGAACAGATCGCGCTTTACTATTTTATTCCCTCTGTAGCCGGTCCCGCAGTGTAGGGGTTTAACACGGGGTAATGATCCCTCAAAAAAAAAATTGGGGTCACTCACTCCACGACTGTTTGTGTGGGGGGGGGGGGGGGGGAGACGCTGCTGTGCGCAATTGGCTGCCCCGTTTCGCCCACAAAATACACAGTCACTTCACTTTGCAGTATATTCTGTGAAGCGCTTTGAGACGTCGCGAAGACGTGATCAGGCGCTGCAACAAATGCCAGGGTTATTATTATTATTATTATTGTTCATTATTATTCATTAAAATCATCTTGGGAGTAAACCTGGTGTATTTATACACATTCCGGGTTTGAAAAGGCGATGGATGTGATAATTCCACACAGTGAATGCACTTTGAACCCCCACCAGTGAGGACAGAAACCCCAATACTGAGCGCGGGACAGTTGGTGGGACTGACCTTGACATCAGGCTCCGTGTTGTTGGGGTTGTAGCCACACGCAGCGGAGTAGGAGGTGAACAGGTCAGTCCATCCCTCGCTGGTGCAGCGACGGCTGATGTTCCCTGTTTCAAACAGAAAAACGGGATCGATCGCAGGAACAAACCACCGGTCCATCCAGTTTCCCAAAACATCCGTTCTATCGCATTCCCCACTGGAGCTCTCTACTCTAACCCCATTCCCTGCTCTCCCTCTCTCTCCCCCCACCCCCATCGTATCTGTGCTGGGACTCGCTCCCCACCACTGGAGCTCTCTACTCTAACCCCATTCCCTGCTCTCCCTCTCTCCCCCCCCCCCCCCCCCATCGTGTCTGTGCTGGGGCTCGCTCCCCACCACTGGAGCTCTCTACTCTATTATCTCTTCCAGGTGGTGATCGCAGAAGCCGATTGTCTGTGATGGTTTTGTGTGCCTCTGTCCCTGAGGTGGAGGACATTGAGGTCTCTCTCACCTGTTGTGCGGGTGAACAGCGATGGGAATCTGGGACACGGCAGCACCACGATCTCTCCAATGGCGGACGCTGGCCAACACGAGACATTGTCCCACTTGGAGCGGCAGCCTGCGGTGAAGGGGAGGAAACCCGGAATGAGAACGGTCGCAGGACAGAGTGAGGGAGGGAACGAATGGGAGGAGAGGAGAGGCACGAGTGAATGAGGAGAGAGAGCGAGTGAGTGAGTTCAGAGTGAGCAGAGAGTGAGGGAGGGAGGCAGGGAATGGGAGGAGAGGCGTGAGCGAGTGACTGGGGAATAATAATGATAACCATCCTGGCATTTGATACAGTGCCTTATCACGTCTTGGAGACGTCTCAAAGGGCTTCACAGGATATACTGTAAAGCGAAGTGACTGTGTATTTTGTGGGTGAAACGCAGCAGCCAATTGCGCACAGAGTGTCCCCACAAACAGTCGTGGATTGAAGTTCGGAAGCAGAGATCGAATGAGTTCAGAGTGGGTGGGTTCGGAGTGGGTGGGTTCGGAGTGGGTGGGTTCGGAGTGGGTGGGTTCGGAGTGGGTGGGTTCGGAGTGGGTGGGTTCGGAGTGGGTGGGTTCGGAGTGGGTGGGTTCGGAGTGGGTGGGAACATTACTATGGTAAAGGATGTGAGAAGGGGGCTGGCAGCGTCTCCCCGGTAGAGGGAGCCACGTGCAAGGCTTGGACGGAGGCGGCAGCTCGGTGATTGTCGGCGGGCGGGGGTGGCTGACTCACCAAGGTGCCAGCGGGCAGCGGACATGTTTGTCGCGATGTCCATGGCCCGGCATCTCTCTGCCCCCTCCTGGAACTCGAGCAGCAGCTCGCAGTCTGCTTGCATCGTCGACACCGACACCGCGGGAACCAACGGCTTTAGCCTGAAATCTGCCAACCTCCTCGCGCACGACAACAACTACAACAACAACAACAACAAGTTACATCCATAAAGCGCCTTTCACGTCAGGAGGAAATTCCAAAGCCCTGAACACGTCTACAGGGAACAAACATCCCGTTAATCCCAGTCGTATGAGTGTGAGAACCGGGTCAGACCCCGTCAGGAAATTCCGGTGTTTGAGAATTCCTAAGAGACGAATCGGGAAATTCCAGAATCCGCCAAATTTGGGTGGGGGGGGGGGAAAGGAGGCATTATGTCATCCACCAATGGATCTGGTCTGCTCTTCCCTCCCACAATAACACACGCTCCCCAGGCCTCTGATACCCAAAGCTCGGGGCCAGCCCTCTGGCTGACACGATTCTCTCTCCCACGCTCATTCCCGAGTCTCTTCGTCCACACGTACAATTTGCGAGACTGATGGTTCGGATTTTGGCTTTGACCCCCGAGGCCGGTTCCCGTGTTGGAATTTGTTCCCATCTCCGTCCCGAAGCTCTGTAACTGGGTCCCCCGACTGGAGGGCATTGACTTGACAGTTTTAGTGACCGTTTCTCACCTGGATTCTCGCTGTGGACTTCAGACTCTCGGTCACTTTGGTCTGTGCCCGGTTCAAGTGGATCCTGGGGCACTATTCGCAAAGCGAAGGGTTTCTCTCTCCCTCCCTCCCTCTCTCATTCTCTCTCTCTCTCTCTCTCTCAGTGTCCTGGCTGACAATCCCTCCCAGATACAATCAGTTGCTCACTTCACGGCGGTTTGTGGGGATTTCACTCCGCGCAGATTGGCTGCTGAGCTCACCCCCAACCCTGCCGTTTAAAGGTGAATCCTGTGAAGCGCTTTGAGAGAACCCCACGGGATGATAAGGTATTCAACGTGAGGGTTATTAGAAAATATTTTAATCGCCTTTGCATCGAAGCAGCAAACGATGTTGAAAGCCGCTGACAAGAGTGAGGGGGCTGGACCACATTGCATGTCAGGGTTTGTTTATTTGCGAAGCGATCTCGTTGCACGATTGGTTTAGCGACGGAGCAAGAAAAAAAAAAAAAAAAAAAAAATGCGCTTTGCGGGTAAGGAAAAAATTCCGCTTCAATCTAAATATTTGTGCGCTTCTGATGCATTGTAAATCATGTTCACAGCTGCTGAAAACTTCACGTTAGCCTCACGTCACTACAAGTAGACAAAGTTTGCATTCCTGGGCCCCCCCACCCCCCACCACATCCCCCAACTCAAAAACTCTCTATCTCCCTTTCTGGTCAAAGAGACCCGCTGACATCCCATTGTTTTCCTCGGTTAACTTGTTTCGTTGCTTTTTTCCCCAACAAAATATGCGTTAAAACATATCCAAACAAAAACAGAAAGAGGCGTTGGGGAATGTACTTACGGATCAGAGAAGAGCAACGATGCTAAGTCCAACTTACGCGAGATCCAGCCTCGCTCCTCACCCCTTCACGCTCCTCACTCCCAGCAGAAAAAAAACCCAGTTGCCCCGACTCCAGCGCTGGCTTCGATTCCGTTCTCTTTCCTCCTCCCTCCTTTGATCAGCCCGGAGTGTCTTGAGTCTATCCAGATCCCCTGAAACTGACCCCAGAGACACACGAGCCAGAGACTCCCAGACTCAGCTCCCAGCCTCTCCGATCCGGCCAGCCAGAATAGGCGGTGGTTTTGAAAGCTCGACTGCTCACAGGCTCACATGCACATTCAGCGTCCCGTTCACACGTCATTTACATGGTCAACGCTAATGACAATCCTCGGCTTTGATGGAGCACCTTATCACGTCGTTGAGAAGCCAGTAAGCGCTTCATTAAATTGACTATTTGGCGGGCGAAACGCGGCAGCCACTTGCGCACAGCAGCGACCCCACAAACAGCCATGGATTGAGCGACCACATTTCTTTTTCAGAGGGATTATGTCCCCCCCCCCCCCCACCCCGGAAAGCGATCCGCCAATCGACTAACAACCGGGTTCCTACTTGCTGCCGGGTAAACAGAGGCGCGTGGAGTGAGGAAACTTGCCCAAGGTTTCACTCGGCCCGGGAACGGAATCCAGGTCCTCCCTCTCTCTCTTGCTTGTCTCGGTACTGGCACTCGTTCCGGAGAGAAATGTGCGCGCAAACACACACACACGCGCGCGAGCGCACGCACACAGACAAACCGACGTGCGAGAAGCAGACAGGAGAGGACACTCGATGCTGATCCGAATCCTTTGCGACTATTTTGAATTTCAAAGAAGCTTCGGCTGTCAGCCTCTGCCCGGCCTCACCCCGCGGATTCCTGATCCAGGCCGACAGTCAAAACTCTCAATTACCTCCCAAACAGTCACTACACCTGACGGTGAGCACTCTGCGATGTTTCCGCATGAGGGGCCGGCGGTAAAACACAGGCTTTTGTTCCCTTACTTGAGGGACTTGACGAGGACTGACTTTTGCTCACAGACTGGTTTAACCCCGACACTGCCGCAGACCTGTACCGTTACTCGGCAACAACACAGCGCCTCAGAGTGAAGCATCTCCCCTCGTGCATTACCTCTGTGTAGTGACTGTTTTTCTGTTCCGTAGGTAAGACATGGAGTCCTGGTAGCTGAGTGGTGAGAGCACTCGCCTGGCGAGCGAAAGGACTTGGCCCTGATTCCCGGGCGGGGCCAAACCTTGGCCAAGTTTCCTTACTCCACACGTCTCTGATACTCAGCAATAAGTAGGAACTCGGGTTGTCAGTCGATCGGCCGATCGCTTTTTGGGGGTAATAATCCCCTTCAAAACAACGACTGTTTGTGGGACATTGCTGTGTGCAATGCAGCACTGCCCCCCACCCCCACCCACCTTTCTCACCGTCAGCCCCCCACTCCCACCCCTCCCCGCCAAACCATCCCGCTCCCCCCCACTCCCCCCCCCCCCCCCTCCCTCTGCACCGCATCACTGTACTGGGGGGTTCAGCCTGGAACTGTGATCCCAAAGCTGCAGATTAACTGGATTTCTTCCCTTTCTCCAGGTTCCTGTTTATGTCCTGAATGCAGCGCATTCCACGGTTGCTGTGGTGATGGTTTCAGACCCTCAGCCGGTAATAACGTCTCATGTAAATATCCCATTTAATATCCATTTGGCCAAATTGCTCTTAATGGTCCCGGGCAATGCGCAGTCAGCGTCAGGGAAGCTGCGGTGATTAAGTTAAAGGGTAAAGGTGCTCTCGGCGGAGCAGGGGGTCCCGGGAGAAACACGCAACCAGGGGCAACGAGAGCGGAGAGGCGCCGAGAGGCACGTTCCAATGAACACCATCGCCTCGATAATGCAACACTCAATGTCTCGGAGCGCGTCGCAGAATGTACTGTAAAGTGTATTTTGACTGTATATTTTTGTGGGTGAAAGAGCGGCAGCCAATTGCGCACTTGAGTGTCCCGCAAACAGCCATGGATTGAGTGACCAATTGTATCTGGGGAGAGAGTGTGGGGGGGGGGGGGACGGGGTGGTGCGGGGTGGGGGGAGAATGTCAGCCGGGACGCGGGCTGGTGGGGGTGGGGATAACACCCTAACCTTTCCAGCTAGTGTTGCGGGAACTTTGTCATGTCAGTGAAACATGCCTCAGCGGGGAGCAGTCGGGCTGAGGTCTGACACTCTGTCTGTGGAGGACGAGACACTTGTTATATTCAGCTGCAAATGGTCCTGGGGAGGCTAATGGATTGCAAGGACACGAGCGTTAATGTTTCAGGCCGCGAATTGTTCTGACTCAATAATGCGGCGCTCACGATCCCCGGCTCGTTCCGAGGCAAAACAAAGGCGTCGTTATTTTATTAATATCTAATGTTCCAAAGTCTCCAGAACAGACTTGCATTTATCCGACACCCACTGAGCTGCTGATTCTTCCATTTCAGATCGCAAATGACCAGGTTCCCTGTTGTGTGTGTGTGTGTTTGTGTGCGTCTCTCTCTCTCTCTGACTCTCTCTCTCCCTCTCTCAATCGCGCAGGTTCTGGGGTCAATGAACATACAGCGGCTGAGAGGGGAACCTGTGATTTCTGCTCCGCTATCTTTCCATCTCTCTCTCTGGTGCCAGGCAACTACAAACTGGAGCAAGGATAGAGCAGACAGGGGGAAGAAACAAGTAGTCACTTAATCCGCGACTGCTTGTGGGGACGACGCTGTGCGCAATTGGCTGCACCCCCAAAATATACAGTCAATTCACTTTACAGTATATTCCGTGAAGCGTCGTGAGACGTCTCGAACTATGGATAAGACGCCATATCAAAGGCAAGGATTATGGTTATGACTAAGTCATCGGCCGGGTCACTGGACTCATTTAAAAAGCAGTTCGGTGCTGTGACTTGAGGGGCGAGAGTGGGGCAGGTGTTCTGGGCGGTCGGGATGGGCCGTGGGCTTTCACCATCCAGTCTGATCTCGGATTCTTGTGTGGCAAAGAGCCGCAGAAAAAGGGAATATTTCACACAACTCATTTCTGTGCCGACCGGAAACAATGGCACAGCCTACAGTCACCACTCGGGGGCGATGTTCACCATCTGAGAAGGCTCCCCCCCACCCCCCCACCTCCCCGCAGTGTAGTGACTGTTAATTAGATCCTTGAAATTCCCCCTTGCCTTAAGAAAACCTAAGACGGCACCGGAATTGTGTGAGAGGCAACGGTCTCAAGGCCGAGGCCGGGCGGAATTCTGGGGGCTCGTGTTGGTAAAAACGCAGAGGTGCAAAGTCCCGTCAATGTGAGACACAGGAACGGGAGGAGGCCATTCAGCCCCTCGAGCCCGTTCCGCCACTCCATAAGATCACGGCCGATCTGTTCCTCAACTCCAATTACTCGCCCAATTTTCCCGAGACTCGCGGACCTCGTTCTCACTGAGTCTGTGCTCGGGGTTGATATTTGCATAACATTTCTCAGGCTTTGATGAAGCGAGTACCTCGGTAATTAGCGGCAATCACCGGAACCGCTCCTCACTGCATTTTGAACAACTTCA